GATACAATAATATTTAAAAGAAAAAGATATTTGACGTAAGTTTCACAATTACATACAAGATTGTCAGTCCTGTGGTGTTAACTTTGATATGTTTGCCGATACTGTATGCTCCAATGTGGCTTTTTGCAGAGACATATTTATTCCATGCAGCCAGGTAAAGATTTACTCTGACAGCAAATCGTGGGTATCAAACTCAGTCAAATCCTGCATACAGAAAAATGAATTGTTTTTTAAACAAGGAGCCACTTCTGATTTGCATTTCTGATTCAAAAGAAACAAAGGCTGTCCTGGCTAAACAAAATTAGAAAACTAAATTAGAAAACAAGATTGCTACAAATAAGCTTGGTTCAGGCGGGGACTGTTTGAAAATCATAACAGGCCTCCACAATCCAAAGAGTAACAGCCTGATTAATTTAGCATGCTACAGCACTGATTTTGAGTTAGCCAATGGTCTTCACCAATTTTATAATAATTTTAATAATTAAGATTTCACCAGGGATATTGAGGAAATAAATAGTAAACTCACAGGTGGACAGCACTTTATTAACAAACAGATGTGCATAAGGCCTTCCTCTCAGTAAGAGTGAACAAGAGCAATGGACCAGAAAATATTTGTGGTCATGTCACACACTTAAAATCTGTGCAATGGAACTAAGCCCAATTTTTGAAAACATTTAAATAGATATCTAGAACAACAAGTACCCACAATTTGGAAGGATACTGTGGTATTCCCTGTTCCCAAATTTAACTCTCCCCAAATCTTTAATGAATTTAGACTCATAGCCTTAACATCAATTGTGAGGAAAGTTTTTAAAGCTTGTAAGGTCTGAAATATTGAGAAGAACCGAGTATGCACTTGATCTTATGCAGTTTGCCAATAGGCCCTATCTAAGAATAGAGCATGCCACAGTTACTTTGTCTAACCTATTTTGAAATAAAATTGTTCAATTGCCAGACTTTTGTTTGGCGACTTTTACACTGCTTTTAACATATTCAACCTCACATTTTATTTAGTAGACTGCTGGAAAAGTTTGACAATAACCTGGTAGACTGGATCCTTAACTTTTTAACCGAACACAAAGTGTTAGAGTGAATGTTTAGGTAACTCACTATGTGAGTTTTTTTTTTTGTGTATCACTGTTATGAAATGAGGACTCTTGACTGCAAACCAAATCTAATTTCGGGTATAAATAAAGTAACGTAACCTAACCTTTGTGTTAATTTGTGTAAGTAAAAAGTACATTGTTTTTGTTAGTTCACAAAACAATAATTGATGTTAACAAATACAGCTCTGTTTTTTAACCGGAACTCAAACCAGAGACCTTCTTGCTGTGAGGTGACAGCATTAACTACTGAGCCACCCCACGTATATTTTTTATTAGTAATTCGAATAGTAAATGTCACATATTTCACTGTGTAACGGCAGATGTAGTGAAAGTGCTCTGGTATTATTTCCTCATACAGGTTCAAGGTGTTTCTCCTTATTATTCACTACAGCACTGCTGAGGACACAGAGACCATCAGAGCCCAGGAAAACAGTGCTCAGGCGTTCACTCCAAACAAAATATTTAGTTCCCTATAAAAGCTCCAGGCTTTGTCTTGGTGACAGGTGGTTTAGGTTATAAAAATATAAAGCTGAGACGAGGGCGGCTTCACCGGCCAGCAAGGGGGACATATTAGACCACAAGGGCCTAACAAATGGCAGTCTCTGCCTTTAATTACACTGCTTCTGGAGGTGAGGCTGAAACACAAGCTTCTCCAAAAACAAAGATTGTTAGTAGCATGCGCTTTTCATCAGAGGAAAGAAAACAACACAAGTCCATTAAACTTTTGAGTTGGATACAAAGAGTGAGAGAGAGTGACAGAAAGAAAAAAAAGATATTAAAATGAGGCTTATAATTATTATAAATATATATTTATATAAAAATATTGCTTTGTGTAATAAAATACAGGCTGTTGTATTAGAGTAATTGATATTATATTACTAATAAATTAAGAAAAAAGGAAACTTGTTCTTTTTGTTAATATTATCTCAATTGCTGTTGAAATTTTGAACTAGATTTATTTAACTGTATTTAATTTTTTGTTTTATTAGTTTTGAAATAACACTGCTTAAATTACAATTTCAAGAGTTCACACTTGATCAGTTTTCATCGGTTCACAGCTGATGATTGATATTAAAGTGTGTTTGACATGCTGTCCCGGCAGAGAGCCCTGAGCTCAGAAGAACCTTGAGCCCGGGGCTCCCTCCCATTTCATCGGCAGTCTGAGCACCGGTATGTCCTGAGAGCTCCCCCGAATTCGTTCACTCAGCCTATTCCTTGATTATAAAGGGTTGCCATGGCGGAATGAACCACTAACTATACTAGAATATGGTTATGAGGTTAAAGCCCAGTGCTAACACACTCATATACTGTCTCAATTTGGTTTATTCAATTCACTTATACTGCATGTCTTTGGACACTGGAGCACCTGGCGAAAAGTCAGGTGAGCATGGGAAGAACAGCTAAACTCCACAAAGAAACGTCAACTAGCAACGACCAGGACTCGAACTAGTGAACATCTTGCTATGAGGCAACAGTGCTAGCCACTGAGCTGCTGTGCTGCCCTGTTCTAGATTAGTCTTGGAAGGAGGAGGAGGAGTAGGGGTAGATAGGAGGGTTCTTCAATGCGGAGATGCCTAAGGTAAGGAAACTGGTTATTTATGTACGTTTGGATTCGCCTGATTGGTACACCATATGATAGCTAGTGCAGGACCAGCCGTGGTCAATCATAAGCACTTGATCCTCTCGAAATTAGTTTATAAATAAACATCACTTAAGTTACTGTTTACTTCCATAATGTCTATTAGTCCTTAATTTTTTTCTGTTCACATTTTTCTAATAGTTTTAATTTTAAAATAGCTTTAACGAATGACTTTCGTCTCATTTTAAAAATGTAAACCTGTAAAAAAAATTTAAAACAACAACTTCAAAATATATATGGATATAAATAAAATATTGTTTTCAGAAAACTACACAGCTATTTTAAATTTGAATATTATAAATACAGATTGTAATTTAAACCTACAGGGACAAACTGATAGAGTGAAATTACTCTTTATATAAAAAACAACAACAACACTATGACAATCCATATAACCCCAAATCTCAAAATACTCAAAAAATAAAAAGATGCATGAAAAAAAAAAAAAAAATATATATATATATATATATATATATATATATTTTTTTTTTTTTTTGAGTCCTGCAGGAACTTGCTATAAATAGTGAAAAATATTTTCGATAGTCATCTTAATTAGTTCTGGCCCATGAAAAAAAAAAAAAAAAATCCAACAGCTATAAACTTTTTTTTTTGTCAGTGGAAGAAAAATCTAACTGTTTGTACAGTTAGTGATTCTCTGTGCAGTGCCGTGTTATTGGTCAATGTGACTGGTCTGCAGTGGACTCTTCTTGCTTCACTCCCTCAAGCACAGCTCTTCCCACAATGACATCATGTCTGGTTTCCTCTATAGCAGCCAGACAGACCTGGACGTGAGCATCCCAAAAACTCTTCACCTCTCCTGCTCTGAGCTCATGATACTCTCTCCGGGACACAGACACGCGTTCCCCCGCTGACAGACACAAAACTTCAACAGAAAAACAACAGATACTGGAGAAGCTGCACTGTTGTGTCTGTTTGTCAGCTGGAGGTTTTCAGAAAGGACATCATACACACACACACACACACACACACACACACACACACACACACACACACACACACACACACACACACACTAGTCACTCCTCTGTCTGTCTCTCTCTCAGTCAAGTGCATTTAGTGTTTTATGGAGCTGAAAACACTGCAATGCAGCAGAGGCGTATGGACCATTCACCTCCAGAGCTGAGCTTTTACCTGCAATCCCTGGACAAACCACACAGAGTTTAGGAATTACTGAACCAAGACCCTTCTACGGCTCATTTAGGGCAGCTCTACATTGCTAATTACTAAATTGGCAGATTCTCTTTCTTTCTTTCTTTCTTTCTTTCTTTCTTTCTTTCTTTCTTTCTTTCTTTCTTTCTTTCTTTCTTTCTTTCTTTCTTTCTTTCTTTCTTTCTTTCTTTCCATCCATCCATCCATCCATCGATCTATATCTGTCTGTCTGTCATGTTTACCTAAGATCCTAATTATTTGTTAGTGTTTTGTAATTATATTTATTTTTAATAATTATTATTACTACGTAGGTTACTTTTATGCATGGAATGTATGGCCTATAGCTTCAGAGGATAAAAGATGCCAGATTGAGGATTTATTTTAGAGGTATGTAAGATTAGATCTGATTGTCCGCTGATTTTTTTGTATGAAAAGGACAAAATAAATCAATAAAAAAAGTTTGATGCTCTTTTGGGCCTGGATTTTTGTCAAAGCACAGAACAGGATAATTTTATTTTTAATATTTTGGCTTAAAATATACTTGAAATAAAAAAAATGTACATGTAATCATCCATCAACAATTAATTTGATTTAATTTTGAATTTATTTTGCACATTTTAAAAATTAGGTATAGATTTTGAATAGAAACCAAATTTATCATTAACAAATATAAAAGTTTGATTATTATTTTATACTGCCAAACATTTTTTAATCGTTTTTGTCTTGTTTTCAAATCAAGTGCTCCAGACGTTCTATGATGAGTCCAGCACATATTGGTTGAGGCATGTGCATTGGCTGTATATTTTAATGTGAAAGACTACATGTGGTTGGTCTTGCGGTGGATCCAGTATCTGCTCATTTGTGATGTATAATTGAACAGAGCAGACGTGGGTCTCTCTGAGGGTCCACACTAGCTCAGACCACTGGGGTTCAAGGGAAATTTTCCAGGACTGCTTGAAATTAAGTTTCCGAATGTTTTTTAGTCAAAGTTTCCAGTAGTTAAAATGCATTTATTCACTTTAGTTTATAATGAGGTGTGTGTGTGTGGATGAATGAAGTGTATAAGGAGGTTTAGACTGTGATACCTGTGCCTGATACAGACTGCCAGGGTCTCGAGAACCAATTCCTACGAAGGGGCGGTTGGCAGGTGGCGTCCCGGGAGCAGAGTATGCTGAAAAACAGGTAAAAACACAAACCATTGCATTATGATGTAAACAGGGCTGGATTAAGAACATATTGGGCCCTGAGGCTATAGCAAACCCAAAGGCTCTATTTATTTTATGCCCATTTATTTATTTAAATTATTTTATTATTAATTTGCTTGAAATTTAATTTCCCACTTGATTTATAATAGAATATTATAAATGTTTTCTATTTTACTAAAGTATGCATACAAGCATACATAATAATTCACATAAACTTTTACAATTTGAAAAAGCCTGTCAACATAATAATAAAAAACACATTTGCATTACTTCCTAAATGAGAGCTTTAAAATAAATACTTTAAATAGGGTAGGTTTTTAAAAAATTACTTTATACTTTAGCTGAGCAGAAATCTCTCAAATATCTTTAAAATCCATGCTTCTAATTTCCCGTATTGTAGAGTCAATCAATTACAGAAGGTTAGCTTTTTTTTTTTTTTTTTTACCTCAGATATATTGTCTGATGAAAGCCAGCACCAGTATTTCATTGCTCAGGATTATTACTAATGAAATTCGTTTATTTAAAAGTTTGCTTTTTAACTGGTTCAGTTAAGACTTAAACCATGTATTTTCTTAAGGTAGATACTCAACAGTGATGGAAATTTTGATAACTGTGTGTGCAGGCTACCTGCATTTAATTTGGTTGAACACTTCCGTTATGAGTCCATTCTGCATGGTTCCATCTATCTCGGCTTCTCATACCGCATGTTATTAACGGATACTGTTTTAGTTTTATTTTGCACTTGGTTACCTTTGACTGTACCATTCTCATGGTAGAGCTGAAGTAAGTGACTGTCCCGGGAAATAAAAGACTTTCCCGGGGAAAACAGAACATCTGTTCAGCCTTACTGGGGAATAAATAGGGCTATTTAAAACTCCTATTGAGCTACAGCTACTTCGAGCCATATAGTTTAGTAATGTCACTGTTTTTAAACAGCAGCGAGCTAAAATTAATTCTTCATATGTGAAAGCATAACGAAAAGAGGTATTAAAATTAATTAATCAGCCAATCAAGGGTACCCTCTTCCTGCGGGCCCTGGGGTTTCAGCAACGGCTAGCCCTTATATTAATCCAGCCCTGGATGTAAATGCGCATTGATATTGACCAATATGTGACATTGTTTTAAACAGATTCTAAATAAAACCACAGCAAATACATTTTTAGCATCACATTATTTGGATGATAAACCCAACAAAAATTGTCATTTTTTACCAGCACTTTTTTATGCTTTGTGTATAATTTGTATAAAATTTAACAAGATGATTCAGGGACTGGTGCCCAAAAATAAATATCACACTTCATAACATTACTGGTGCATCCCAAATCACTTACTTACGCACTATTCTACACCATTTTATAGTATAAATAAGAAAGTAATGCATTCACAGTGAGCATCTTTAATACCTGGATGATACACCAATCTAACCTATACAAATAGAAGTGCGTGATGTTGAACACTTTATACACTCAACAGTTGCAGCTTTGCTATCAGAGCTATCGAGCGCTGATGTTGGATTACTTTATTAAGTTTGATTTTGCAAGCAGAATTCTCCAACCTATGCAATTATGACTCCCTAGTGAATTTGCTTGTACTCCTGAGAGGCACTACTTAGTAGTCTGCTAATTTATTTCACTAATCTGGCAACCGGTAAAGGTCAACTGGGAAGCAGTTTGAATTTCCATTAGCAAAAAAATCATTAGCGTTCCATTTGGGATGACACTAAACTCATACACTACATGGTTGAGGTTATAATTTCATAAGTGAATAGCGTTTAGAGTGTCATTTGGGATGCGACTTCAATGTATTCATAAGATACAGCCTTTTACTATAATAGTCAAAATGGCTGTTGCCCAAATTTGACTAAATGCCTAAAATATTAAACTTAAAATCTTTTCTGACAATCTAAAACAATTAAAATGTAAATAAATGATGTTAATCGACTTGCCATTAGCCAAGAAATTGAATTAACGTAAATATCGGTGCAAAATTGAGTAGTTGGTGGTGTTAAAGAGTTTAAGATTCTAGGTTTACAGCGGTTAACATTGAGTAACCTTCTATTTCTGTGCCAAATTTCATAACTTTCCCAAAAGCTGTTTTATGACATGCCACATACACAAATAAACTGATAGAATATGTCTAAAATGCTGGTGATTCTGTGTTTAAATCACACAGTTATTCATTACTATATTCAGTTGAGATCTTAACTGCAGTAAGTGTTTATGGCTTGCATCTGTTTCACTCAGACACTGAATTGAATTGCAGCAGTTGGTCACGGTTTCTGTATTTGTTACTGCTAGACTGTGTAAATAAATACAATGTCTGGCGGAGGCTCATTCTGTTGTCTGTTTATGTAAATCCAGCCTGTTGTTAGGGAATGTGCGCCTTCATCTCTCAAAGAGCATAATATCTGCAATTACAGAAGCTTTATGTTTCTCAGGAAATTCTCCCCTGTTGGTAAACACACAAATTAAAAATCTCCACATCCATCTTTATCAGATGGCTCTTTGAATAAGCGGACTTGATTACGAGACGCGATTCTAGCTGAATAATCCTGCTGATCATTGAATCTGTCTGTGTGAGATGGCGTATCGAGGCGATTGATCATCTGGGATTCTGCAGCAGAGCGGATGGCCAATATATTGAGCTGTTCTCTGCATTAATAATTAAATTAGCATGATTAATGGACAGGGCGGCAAGCACTGGCCCATTAAAGCTGATCGACTTGTCATCTAAATGTATTTGTGTTTGTACAAGTTACTAAAGGAAATACGCTTACTGTGTTTTTCTCACTGAAACATAGATATATCAAAATTTTTAGCCCTCCTGAATTTTTAGCCCCTCTGTAATATTTTTTCCTCAATTTCTGTTTAACGGAAAGAACATTTATTTTTAACGCATTTCTACATATAATAGTTTTAATAACTCATTTCTAATAACTGATTTCTTTTATCTTTGTCATGATGACAGCACATAATATTTTACTAGATATTTTTCAAGATATAAGCATTCAGCTTAAAGTGACATTTAAAAGCCTAACTAGGTTAATTAAGTTAGGTTAGGGTAATTAGGCAAGGCACTGCATAATGATGGTTTGTTCTGTGGATAATTGAAAAAATATATTGCTTAAGGGGGCTAATAATATTGATCTTAAAATGGTTTTAAAAAAGAAACACTGCTTTTATTCTAGCCAAAATAAAACTATAAGACTTTTTCCAGAAGAAAAAAATATTATAATAAGTAATAAAAAGTTATATGAAATCCTATGAAAAATTCCTTGTTCTGTTAAACATAATTTGGAAAATGTAAAAAATAAAATATATACAGTATATTGACCTTATTCTCCGCAGACGAGCGGACGCTGCCATTTGAATCTTTTTGGCACGAGACTTCCGGTCTCATTCACTTCCATTCATTTTTAGACATTAAAAACTGCTCGTTTCGCTGTTTGATGTTGCAAACTGATATTTCCTTGTTATATTATTCTACTTGGTCTGTATAGTCATGCAAACATTTGTTTGTAGAGCAAGTAGTTTGACCGTTTTTTGCTGTTTATTATTCCTTGTCATTTCTCCCATAGGCGACTGAAACGGAAGTTCTAAGACAATCGCGAAAACAGGCGCACTTACGCATTTTAGAATAAGGTCAATACAGTGTATATACTATATATCTATTTCTTTTCGGCTTAGTCCCTTTATTAATCTAAGGTCGCCACAGCGGAATGAACCGCCAACTTATCCAGCATATGCTTTACACAGCGGATGCCCTTCCAGCTGCAACCCATCACTGGGAAACACATACACACTCATTCACACATCCATACACTACAGACAATTGGCCTACCCAATTCACCTGTACCGCATGTCTTTTTGGAAACCCACCCAAACGCAGGGAGAACTCCACACAGAAACGCCAACTGACCCAGCAGAGGCTCAAACCAGCGACCATCTTGCAGTGAGGTGACAGCACTACCTACTGCGCCACCTATATATATATATATATATATATATATATATATATATATATATATATATATATATATATATATATATTATAATATTCTGATTTCAACTGTGTGTGTGTGTGTGTGTGTGTATATATACACACACACAGTTGAAGTCAGATTTATTAGCCCCTCTTTATTTTTATTTTTTAAAAATATTTCCCAAATGATGTTTAACAGAGCAAGGAAATTTTCCCAGCATGTCTTATAATATTCTTTCATCTGAAGAAAGTCTTATTTGTTTTATTTTGGCTAGAATAAAAGCAGTTTTTTATTTTTTAAACAACATTTTAAGGACAAAATTGTTAGCCCCTTTAAGCTATATTTTTCCGATAGTCTACAGAACAAACCATCACTATACAAAATCTTGCCTAATTACCCTAACCTGTTTATTTAACCTAATTAACCCAGTTAAGCCTTTAAATGTCACTTTAAGCTGTATAGAAGTGTCTTGAAGACACTGTCTAGTCAAATATTATTTACTGTCATCATGGCAAAGATAAAATAAATCAGTTATTAGAAGTGAGTAATGAAAACTATTATGCTTAGAATTGTGCTGAAAAACATCTTCTCTCCATTAAACAGAAATTGGGGAAAAATAAACGGGGGCTAATAATTCAGAGGGGCTAATAAGACTTCACCTGAACACACACACATAGACACAGACACAGACACACACACAGACACAGACACACACACAGACACACACACAGACACACACAGACACACAGACACACACACACACACACACACACACACACACACACACACACACACACACACACACACACACACACACACAAACACACACACACATTATTACAAGTAAATGTGATGTATTCCTATAGTGAAAAGCTGTATTACGGTATTTTTATGTGTAGCATGAATAGTAGCGCATACACCATTAAAGGAGCCAAGACTCATCAAAGAGATATTTCACAGAAAAAGGACAATTCTGCCATCATTTACTTTTTGCCCAACTAATTTTAGTGTCTTTCTTCTGTTAAACACATAGGAAGACATACTGAAGCATGTTGGCCAAAAGCGGCTATTGACTTCCATAGTATATTTTTGTCAGTGGATGTTTTTATCCCAACATTCCTCAGAATATCTTGTTTTATGTTCAGCAGAAGAGGCGACACAGTGGCGCAGTAGGTAGTGCTGTCGCCTCACAGCAAGAAGGTCGCTGGGTCGTTGATTCGAATCTCAGCTCAGTTTCTGTGTGGAGTTTGTATGTTCTTCCTGCATTCGCCTGAGTTTCCTCCGGTTGCTCTGGTTTCCCCCACAGTCCAAAGACATGCGGTACAGGTGAACTGGGTAGGTTAAATTGTCCGTAGTGTGTGTGTGTGTGTGTGTGTGTGTGTGTGTGTGTGTGTGGATGTTTTACAGAGATGGGTTGCGGCTGGAAGGGCATGCGCTGCGTAAAAATGTGCTGGATAAGTTGTCGGTTAATTCCACTTTGGCAACCCTGGATTAATAAAGGGACTAAGCCGACAAGAAAATGAATGAATGAATGAATGTTCAGCAGAAGAAAGAAATGAATAAACGTTTAGAACAAAACCGAGTCTGTGTAAAATGTGAAGAAATGCTTTATTTTCTTTGAGGGGCTATTGGATGACCAAACATGAATCTGTACACTGTGTATGTTGCGATAAATGTAAATGATTTGTGACATAAGCCAGACCACTAACTCTGAGCCAGCCATCTTCCCTTTCACTTCAATTAGTTTCACTGGATTTATTATTCTTTGAGCCACTGTAATGAATCTAAAAATGTCTACTGCATCAATCTCCAACTGTTTATGTGTGTGTGCTACTGTTTGCTTGTTTTTTGGCTAAAGGTTTGGTGCCCTGTCAGAGGTGGGACAGAGATTGCGATTGGACGGACAGACGGATTGAAATCGTCCCACTTACTGGGGGATGTGGGTGAGCTGGAGGCTGCGTCTGCAGAGGTGGTGCTGGATTTGGACTCTGGGGGCAGCGTCAGACGGGGCAGGCCGGGGGGTGGTGGGGGGGCCAGCATCTGAGAGGAGATGTAGTGACTGGATACCTTCACCTGACCACTGCCATTCAGCTGCAGAGGAAGAGAGGGCAACAGTGAGCCACTGAGGGGAGGGACACCTCACTGCCTCTACACAGCTAACATCACAATACATGCATCTACTATCCCCGTGGCCAGCTGATAGATTTGATCATTTTATGGCAAAATCTCTACTATAATACTTGCCAATTTCATGGACTATAAGCTATATAGCATGGCTGACATCACGGCAGGTTTTAACAGCTGTTGATGTAGGTCAGTTTTGGCGCACTAATGCAGTGTTCCATTTTGTTTAAAAAGTGAGGATTCCAACATGCTACTTGGAACAACACAACAAAACTAAAATGTTTCAACACTGGTAAAGATGCATTATTCAAGGAGCACTTGGCAATACACTAGGGGTTAAAGGGATAGTTTACAGAAAAATTAAAAATGCTGTTAGTATTTACTCATAATCATGCTCTTTCATATTACTCATATGGCTTTTGTTCAATCAAAAGAGAGATTTATTCACCAAACACTTTGACATTTCAGAACAATCATAAAGAGCTTGTAAAATAAATCCATTGCTTTATATGAGGATTATATCCTTATTTATATATTTAACATTCATCTTTATACACATCAGAGTTCTGGGAGTATACTGTAAGCTGTTAAATAAAGAGCAGATATCGCTCATATTTTGTTAACATGTATTTTGCTGCATATATATTTATGCTTTAAATGCTGGCTTCTCAAAGACAATTAGACAAGACAAACATTTCATCAATTCATGCATTTGCTGGAAAATGTACATTTGGTAAAAAGATCTACTGGTAGTACAGTAAAGATTTCAAAATTACAGATAAAACATGTTAAATAGAGAGAGACAGTTGGGTAAATAATAGTAAATAACCATCTCTGTTGATTGCACACATGCAAACCTAAGCTAGTGCAATTTTGCATCATTTTCCATGCATAGGTCAAAATTTAGAAAGAAATTAGTAAGAAACAACATCACATCTGATTTGCATGTTTTTGTGTTTATATGTAGAGCACTTTAGTACACATTGTGGTTGGTTGAAAGTGCTTTAGAAATAAAGTTGAGTTTGACACTGAATGGAACACAGTATTAGTAAAAACATCAAATTTTTTTTTAAAGTTTGACATTATTCTCTCTGCTGCCCTCATCTGCGTTGGAGCACATACTCTGCAGATAAGTGAAAAAACCCTGTTTATGTGTATTGTTTACATTATTGTGTCACATAAAGTGGTTATCCGCTTGTTAAGTGTGACGTCATGTGAAGCGGCCTCTGTGTCCAAGTGCCATTTCAAACTGCATGGGGAAACTCATCAAACGGTAATAATAAATGTTTAGAAAGCAATGTAATACTTTCGAAAATAACGATTGCAATGTATATATCCATGCTTGATATATCGGATAGCCAGAAAGTTATTCATTTTTTAAAATAAATTGTCAAAAGTTCAAAGACTGTTGTGTACACTATGATTTTGTATCAAATTCACTTTGATGTGTGATAGGACTAAAAAGATCATAAACAAATTTTTTATTAATTCAAATGAGTGGCAGCTTGGACCTGGAAAAGGTATTCCACACGTCACCGATACATCACGACTTAACAAGCGGATTCACAACTAGGAAAATGTGTTTTTTTTTTAATAAGGCTTGACTGTTTATGCAGTAGAAAGATTATTTTAGGATGAATTTGGTGCAATGTTGTTTGGAGAAAACAAAAAGGGGCTGTGGAAATTTCTTTTGCTCCAAAAAGGTTGGATAACTTCAGCACCCATAATGCATCAACTGTGAGTGATGATACAAAAAAAGTTTCATTTGTTTGATTCTGAAGGCAATCACCTTACTTTTTTCCAGGGCTGTTTATAACGAAGTTGATATTTAGCTGCACTATGTTGGTGCTTCGTAACATCAAATTTTTACGAGGTAGGTTATTAGCTCAATGCTCAACCCTCAACCTGGAGGACCAGGACATACACACAAACACTACGGACAATTTAGCTTTCCCAATTCAGCTAAAGCGCATGTCTTTGGACTTGTGGGGGAAACCAGAGCACTCAGAGGAAAACCCCCGCAAACACGAGGAAAACATGCCCCAGTGCTACAAACTACGCCACCCTGAAGACATTACCTATTGCACTTTAATAACCCATGATTCTAAAACTCTCAAAATGTGTCCGTGTTTTATACTGAACATGATAATGTTTTGCTGCCTAAATTCAGTTCTCCAGAGATTTTCCTAAACATGCTGTAGTTTTCAAATGTACTTAATTTTATTAGACATGCATAGAAGAAAAATTGTGTCCCTTAAAAAAAAAACAGTAGTAGAAAGTCCAGTGGCACATTGTATCTCCACCTCCTCATGGCATCAGCAGTTATGAGGGAGAAACAGAGTAACGTTGTGTGCAGTGTTCTAGCGAACGGCCCATTATGCATTGCTCTGTCGTTCTACCCCGGCCGCAAATCCATAAAACCCTCTATCATGCTCTCTTTCTCTCTCGGAGGGTTTGGCTCTCGTTTGCATTCTGGCCGGGTAAAACTGCACACTCACTGCCCTGCACAACAATAGCTGGTGAGTGAGTCAGCGGCATTGTGGGTCGGTGCGGCTGTTCTTTGTGACTGCTTGGCTACGGTCAGACTGCAGTACTGGGAATTTCAATGAGTCTACAGAATCGGCTGAGCCCGGCTGCCACAGGGCAAGATTCAGAAATGTGCGCGTCTCTCTCTCTCTCTCTTTCTTTCTTTCCCCGTTTATGTGCCAACATCAGCAACACCTCTAGACACTGAGATTTCCTACTTCTTGGCCGTATTTCATGTTCTCTCAGGCTCTCGGTCTGACGTGGGGATGGCACATGACTCTCCTACAGGCACCCCTGAGGAAAAGTCATTCACACTTTCTGTTGGTTCTGTATGTCACTGTCAGAATGAGACAATCCAGTCAGAGCTAGCTCTTGGTCCAAAGAGTGAGAGAAGGCAGAAAGATCCCAGTGGTGAATGTGCTGGAGAGAGTGATGGGACTCAAATGACAGCCACAATCAGGGAATGAAATGAACTTTTGATTTCAAGGGATATAGTTTTCCTTCATAAGCACAATTTTATATATGCCTTTTCATTTTTTCTGTGTTATGTTAAATTATTAATTTGACCAATTACTTAAATCAATCAGAATATTACAAAACTTCTATTTCAATTGTATGAATAAAGAGAGCACTCTTTTATGAAAAGCAACCCAGGCTCATTGGACAAACATACGTTGATAATTTGTTACACGTGTCAAATGATGTATCCACCAGAGAGCGATATGTACATACTTGTGGTAAGGTATGGTTTGGTATGCTTTTATTTAAGTAAATGTAAGTAAATTAAATCTCTTTAACTTTAAGTTAGGGGTGTAACGAACAAACGTTACATGCTTTAATTGTTGTTTTAGATCCTTGTGATGTAAGAAACAGGTTTGCAATATTACTACAGGCCACTGGGTTGCACTAGAGGGGAGTGAGAACTGGATATATTCCAGCTCACCATAGAGCAAGTGAGTCTTGTTTGGTAGAGGGAACCATATGGTAAACTTAGGCTACTGATCCACTCTGCTTCTGATTGTTTTGAGAACATTACTGTTGCTGCTCAAATGTGAGTATTGAATAGTGGTGGGCAAAGCGAGGCTTCATGAAACACTGAAACAGTCGAAGCAAATGTGTCGAAACGTTTCGAAACCCCACTCTACGGTGACAACTAGTGGTCATTTTTTATGTATTGCACTGAAACAGCTTCAGCAAGAACATTTTAGCAAATTGAGGTATTAAACCCCACTTTGTAGAAGTATCTATTCAAGAGATTAAGTGGAGCGGTTAATGATTCTGACTTCCATGCGGGGATATTTTGAAATGCTTTAATACCAGTTGGTAATGCTTTGTTCTTGTTTCGTTTTGTTTCAACATTGGTCTGACATCCGAATAAACACGTAGTGAATAAATATGTCTTGTTTTGGTATTAAAACAGGGTTGTTGCTAGATCAGACACAGTTGTGGCCAGAAGGTATCAAGAATTATTTATATTATTCATTAAATTTCCCATTTATTGTATTTCATTAACGTCTATCCAAACCCTAAACCCAACCATCACAGTACTGTAAAAATTTGTATTATTGTTTTAGTGTTACAAAAATGATGCTTTATTGATGGCGTATCCGCAGCTGTAATCTATTTAGGCTACACCATAAAACAGAAACATGATTAAAATACATAAAACCATGATTTAGGAGTATTTGTACAAGTCGGGATTCGAACCCAAAAGTCATTGGAAGTATAGTAACAGCCTGTACAGGCACAGTCCTCCAGGCCATATGAGACAGATATTGGAACAGACCCCGGTAGTTACATGCAGATTCGCCAGGTCTCGAAACGCTTCTTAACTGATCGATGCTTTGAATCACTTTAGTCACGTGACCAGGGGTTTCAAAACACTTTAGTCACGTCACTTGGGTGTTTCAGATCATGCTTCGGTGCAGTGTTTCGAAACACTTGCGCTTCGAGATCTCGAAACTGTGTCGAAACGTCAGCCATCTCTAGTATTGAATAAGTTTTAAGTTTTGAAAGTATTTTCGATATTTAGTTGTTATTTACCCTATGTTTTTTTCTTATGTAGACAGGACCTGTTGTACTAGAGATTTACCAATGAGGTGATTGTTGGTGCTTTTAATAGACTTCAATGATTGGGTTTCAGCAATAAGCATGCACAATTAAAGTCCATGTGAACCAAAAGTTTCTATTTTACTTTAGTATTGTGACACATATCCAAGTAAAACACAATACTGACTAGAGGGCGATGTTTTATTTTAGCATTCCTCCTCACCATCTCTCACTCACAGCAACCTAATGGTCGGAGAGTAGTGGTTATTCTGGCCAAGCTGTCAAACTGACAGAGAATTCAAGCTAATGTTTTTTTTTCAGTTAATTAACTTGCACAGATTAATTATTCACATCAAGAATAACAGTGTGTGCTAACAAAGTAAAGTCAATTTTGTTTTACTGAAGATCTCCATAAAGTTCAAGTGGCCCTTTTGATTGGACTCTGACTAAGCCCCCCCCCCATCCATGTGAAGCTGATGAGCTCCTGTCTGTGAGTGTGTGTGTGAAAGGGCTGATGGATGTCGCTGTTTAGACTGCAGGTCGCTTTAACGGAAAGGGTGAAATCTGACCGCGTGGAGGCTGCGTGCTTCTACAAGGCAGCAGTCAGCTGTTTTTGGCTCACATTACATGGGCTACGATCCATGTAGGGCACATGATGGCTTGTTTATCTGTCTCTTTTTCCTTCTGTCTGTCTCTCTAACACTCACTTGCATGCTCACAGACACACACACAGACAGGACGCAGGAAGTAATCAGTTGATCTTGTAATTCATCCTTTCTGGTGTAATTTAAAGAGGTCATAACATGGATTTATTATTATTTATTTGTTTTCCCAGAGGTTTTTTTTTTCTGCCAGAACAGTAAATTTGAGCTTTTTCCCACTCTCTATCTCTCTCTCTTTCACTTTCTGATCTGTAGAATTAAGTGAATCTTTTAAGCCAACTGCTAAAGTACGAAACTATACTGCATGCTCTGAAATGATTCCAGATACACGCTGTGATAGTATTTTGATAGTATGCGTTGGCCTAAACTAAATATTAATAACTAAATACTATTTTGTCAAAGAAACATGTAAATTATGGATACATAAGAAAAAAGTCATACATTATATATAAATTTGCACTACTTGATTTTTATTCGCAGTTCTTTATTTTTGTTTGCAAAATTCCTTTTTTTTTCTCAAAACTCAATTTTCTCTTTGCGGTTTCTTTAGATTTGCATTATTTTACGTATTTTTTGCTCAATACTTTATTGCTTGTTTGCAAAACTTTCATGTTGCAAGTATATATGGCCCTAGATTGACTCCATACATGTCTCTTTAAAAAAATCTTTTACGATACACAAAAGAAAGACATGAAACAAAACAACACGATGATGGCAAATAAAGGATACATTTTCATTTTTAGGTGAACTGTCTCTTTAAGAAATGATTCAGTTGAATTCAAAATGAGCACATTTCCTCCACTTATGCCGAGTTCAGACTGCATGATTTTAGCCCCGATTTTGACTCGACAGGTTTTGTGAAATCGCAGACAAATGCCTGAAATCAAGCACTGATTTGCATATGTTCATGTGAGTAACAACGACACAGTGTGAACTATCAAGGGCGCGATATGAGAGAATCACCAATAAGTCGACAATGCTCGTGAGATATTTGGCATGCTAAATATCTGGAGCTGTCTGCGATTCAAATCATGCTGTGTAAATTGTGTTCTGACTGAAAATAACATCAGCGATCCAGCCAATGAGAGAGCAGCATTCACTAGTATGGGTATCTGCAGGCCAAAGAGAGGTTGGGGGAGAAGTCAAAAGTGCTCATTTTCAGTTTATCTGGACCCAAAAAATGGAGGAAAAACTAGTGGAAATTCGGCAGGAGCACCGTGTCTGTTTGACGTGTCATCTGAGCAATATCACAACATGATTATCAAAGCCACACTTTTTTGTCTTTAACTTTTAAGTTCAAATTTGGACAGCCTATGATATGACCTCTTTAAAGTACAAATTCGACATTTCAAATCATTTGTCAAGCTGACTCATCCAGTGAGTAACACGGCAGGCTCAGAGCTGTGACTGGCTCATATTGGGCTCCTACCAGAATTATGGCTGCTGATTTATTGAGGCTGATGCCGGGATTTGTTTTTACGTACCCTCATCTGTAAGTGTGATGAATGCAGAAAGTCATATGAGTTGTGTCTGGAAGCTTCGTGGGATGATCTTACTGGGCTGGGCTGTTGATTGGACGGGTCACAGGCCAGAGAGACCAGGTCCTTGAGCGGGTCTTGAGAGCTGAGGTGCGGCGGGTACCGGATGGCCGTGTGAGGGAAGTAAGTGGAGGCGGTTTGGGGGAGAATGGGGGTGCCTGGGAAGTGCAGAGACGAGGAGGGATGTGGACTCCGGGAGATACCTGGAGACACAAAAACAAGCTTTAACATTTATTCACTTATAACCAATATTGTTTACTTTATTTTGTACTTTTAGGACCCTGGTCTACGTACAGTTGAAGTCAGAATTATTAGTCCTCCTGAATTATTAGCCCCCCAGTATACTTTCCCCAATTTCTGTTTAACAAAGAGAGGGGTTTTTTCAACACATTCATAAACATTATAGTTTTATTAACTCATTTCTAATAACTGATTTATTTTATCTTTGCCATGATGACAGTAAAAAATATTTTAATAGATATTTTTCAAGATACTAATATTATGCTTAAAGTTTAAAGGCTTTTGAACTTTTTAACTAGGCAGGATAGGGTAATAAGGCAAGTCATTGCATAACAGTGGTTTGCTCTATAGACAATCAAAAGAAATTGCGTAAGGCACTAATGATAATGTTTTTTAAATTTTAAACTGCTTTTATTCTAGCCAAAATGAAATAAATAAGACTTTCTCCAGAAAAAAAAAATACTGTAGGAAATACTGTTAAAAATTCCTTGCTCTGTTAAACATGATTTGAAAAATAAACAGCAAATTCTGTTCAAGGCACTCGGAAAATGTGGAAAAAATATTAAAAGATTTGTAATAAAAATTTAAATCTTTAAATATTTTTCCCTTATTTTAGAGCACCGACACATTGTTTAAGCTACCCCTGAGCACTTTTTGTTTGATTCTGGATCATTTAAGAAAAAGAAAAAAAAAAAACAAATCACAGAAGGGCTAATAATTCTGACTTCAACTGTATAAAAAGCAACATAAACATTAGCTAAAGTATCTTGTTTTATGTTTGACAGACAAAAATAAGTAGATTTGCCATTTTGATTTGAATTAATCAGAAATTGTATTTTTCTTTGGTGAATTTATCAAAAGTGTTTGCAACATTATAGTTTCTCTTGTGGTGCAGACTTTTGAATTCAGAACAATTTATAAAACCACATTTTTATTAATATTTTTGTATATTCCCTTTGTCCTTGATTTGATTGTTTCTTTATTCTTTTCATCCTAAATAGATGTGGATTTTAGCCATAGACCATTTTGAGGGATGTAAACAAAAACAATGGTCCCAAACTTATTTCCTGTTTTACATTTTTAATTTCTATAGCTTCTGAGAATCCAAAAAGAGCCACATATTAACAAATAATGTTATGATCGCTGTTTCTAACAAAAAGTTATGATTTTTACAGTTATGAAATAGTTTGATAACAAGCGGAAAATTATCATGGACCAATGACATGACCACATCATTAAAATGGTCTATTGAACAATATTTGGATTTGGAGTTGAAATAACACATCAAAGTATACGACAGTCCAAAATTGTTTTTGTAACAAAATGAATACAGTTGCACTATAAAAAAATACAGCCATCAAATATATGGTGTTCCATTTCTATTTAGCAAAACAAATAAAGAACCTGAATGCCTCACAATTAGTCCCCGTAAAATATATTTTAAAAAAAGTAAAAAGTAAAAGTAATGTTTCCTAAGCACCAAATCATCAAATTACAGTGATTTTAGAAGGATTATGTGCTAATAAATGCTGAAAATTCAGCAATTTAAGATATATTTAAGCTGTTTATGGGCAACATGGTGCCTCAGTGGTTAGCACTGTCGCCCCACAGCAAGAAGGTCACTGGTTTGAGTCCCGGTTGGGTCAGTTGGCATTTCTGTGTGGAGTTTGCATGTTCTCCTCATGTTCGCGTTAGTTTCCTCAGGGTGCTCCGGTTTCCAAAGACATGCGGTATAAGTTAATTGAATAAACTAAATTGTCTGTAGTGTGTGTGTGTGTGTGTGTGTGTGAATGAGAGTGTATGGATGTTTCCCAGCACTGGGTTGCAGCTGGAAGGACATCTGCTGTGTAAAACTTATGCTGGATAAGTTGGTGGTTCATTACCCCTGATTCATAAAGGGACTAAGCCGAAGGAAAATGACTGACTGAATAAAGGAATGAATGACTGAATAAGCTGTTTATTTAATTAGAAAAGTTCTGCATTGACTTGTAATGATAATAATTCACAATATTATTTTTTACTGTTTTTGTATTCAGATAAAAGCAGGCCTGTTGAGTAATAACATTTGTTTTTTTAAATCCAAGCATATCATTTGTATTTTAATGACACATCTGATAAAGCAGCATATAACTAGCATCTTAATTAAAGAGCTTCGTTGTCACGTCCCTGTCATATTTAACCATCATAACTCTCTACAGAGCACTCAATATGCTGTAACACATTTGGCAATGCCCAGAAGAGGTAATATGTGCTTGATGTTTCAGTGCAAGGCAGCATATGGCTGACACGCTCCACCAATTCATCTGAACAGCCAGGCTAATTGTTAGAGCATAATTCAGCCAGCTGTGAGGCTCTGGAGATGACATATCACTGTACCGCAATAAGAAATGACCTGACCGGGGATACTACACTTGTCTCAGCCCTATAAAACTGTGAAGGATTTAAATGTACATTTATTAAAGTCATTTGTAGTTGAAAAATAATTTAAACTTATTTATATTCAACTTCAGAAGTCCTATCTTCCATTGAAATGAACTGTGGTGATGTACACAGGTCTTTCAAACATTTAATAAGATATTTCACCCTTATGTGGTTAAAAATATTCATGTTTAAACACAATAGATTATATTTTTCTATAATTTGGGCAACAGGTAACTATTGACTACCATAGTAGGAAAACAAATACTACAGAATTCAGTGGCCACTTAGTTTCAACATTCTTCCAAAGTTCTTTTGTGTTCATCGGAAGAAAGAAACTGGTTTGGAACAAGTGTAGTGTGAGTAAATGATCACATAATTCTATCATTTTCAATTTTAAGTGAACTATCCCTTCAATGTTTTTAAACTGCTCCCCATTTTTACATTTGAGCTTAGATACTAGCGCTGCACGAAACTGGAAAAACATTTTTTTTTTTTCTGCGATTCATACTGCAATATTTCACCAAATAATGAATAGCTCTATTTGGAAAAAAATGAACACATCTATATTGATTGGGATAACTGTGTAGAGGACTGCACCTGCAAGGAAGAATAATAACCTGTACCAGCACAGATAAATAAAGTAGAGCAATTACATATATGAAGGAGTCTAACAGTATTCAGGTAGAAATAAAATACACAACTGCACAATAAAGTTGTATAGTCTTCATTGTATAAATAATTAAGGAAAATTATTCTTTGTTAAAGTTATAAATTTTTTTACAAAATAATTCCTTGTGCCCAAAACTTGCTTAAAATAGGCCTTAAAAACACATGCAACTGATAAACATTAAAAATGACTGCACTGAATTGTTGTACCTGATCAACTATAATCCTGACTCCTCGTTGCAGATCCTGCGATGTGACTATTGTGGATTCATCCCAAATTGATGCAAGGAACCAAGTGGTTTAATTCAAGTCTTCGACAAACACTTTACAAGATAAACTGATTTTACAACATTAAATGCTGTTACAGAAGCCTAAGCACGCTTTATAAAAGAGAACCAATGAGGTTCATTCTTGTGTCACATTGCACATTTGAGCTTTTGGAACAGCCAATGAGGTTTTGGTTTTTATGGGTCAAGCAGGTATTTATGTTCCCTTCATGTTTACATGTGAATAAAAGCATATTAAATATGTTCATCATACATAGCTATCTCTTCAGAAGACAGGATTATCAACCACATGATCTATATAGGTTTCCTTTTTGATCTCTTTACCAAAATTTGCAGCAGGGTTTTGGGAGAATAAGCTTTTAATGGAGGGACAAAAAATCTCTAAGATTTCATTCAAATATCTTCGGTTGGGTTACCCTTTCAGAATTTTCCACAATTTAAAATAAAAAAAGTTAAGCAAATGTGAAATATACAGTTAAAAGCTGAATTATTAGCTCTCCTATAGTTTTTTTATATATATATCTATTTCCCACGTTCTGTTTAATAAAGCAATGACCACCCATCCTCCTTCCTATAATAGTTATTTCTCTTGGAGAATCTGTATTTTATTTTAGATTTAAAAATAAAGATTAATTGTATTATTGTATTTTTTTTTCCAATACACAGAACAACACCACAACACAAACCACTCTTACCTAATTAACCTAACAGTAACCTAATAACTAAGACCAGACAGAATCCTGGAATAGTTTTGCATCCAAAAACATAACCTTCGGCCAATTTAGCTTACCCAATTCACCTACACTGCATGTCTTTGGACTGTGGGGGAAACCGGAGCACCCAGAGGAAACCCACGCGAACACAGGGAGAACATGCAAACTCCACACAGAAATGCCAACTGACCCAGCCGGGGTTCAAACCAGCGACCTTCTTGCTGTGAGGCAATTGTGCTACCCACAGTGACACTGTGATCCCCATAACTAAAAACTTAATTTATTAAATAAATAATATATTATAAATACCTTTTTTAACTTTTATTCAATGTTTACAGTGCAAATCCAATTAGATCCACTTAATTAGATCCACTTAATCTACTAAAAGACAGAAATTATTACTTTACCAACTGTATTGTAAACAAGTCATATGAAGATTTTCATATTAGTCAATAAAATTACTGAAATTAATTTAAAAACTGATTAAATATAAATACACACGGTTACACAAGTAAATAAATAGACTCAATGATAGGAAAAACATCGGTGGAAATCTGCATGTGCAAATTCCGTGTAGGTCTACTGCTAACCTAGTTTTAAAGCTAATTACTACTATCTTACTAATAAATAAATTATTAAAATTATTGTTTTAAATTGTGAAAAATATTTGATATACATATACATATATATATATATATATATATATATATATATATATATATATATATATATATATATATATATATATATTTGAAAAAATATTCTCACCATTAAACAGCACTTGGTGACACTTTATTTTGATGGTCCGTTTGTTACATTGCATCTACATGTCAACTAATTTTCATTAGATTATATGTAGACTGTTAGGAGCAGTATCAACAGATAATAAGCAGACAGTTTACTAATACTCAAATAGACCATCAAAATAAAGTGTTACCTATCACTTTTAAAAGAATTTATATTTCACAGGAGGGCTAATAAATTTGACTTCATACAAATACATATTTTATATGGGGAAAAAAGCTAAAAAAAACTAAACAAACAAAGTTCTGTTAATGTGAAGCTGATTCAGTATGGGCTTTATGCAAAGACATACGGGTGAAATAATGGACATTATTTGCATTCTTTTGTGAACTTAACCTTAAAGATAATGTTAAACCAAAGACAAAGAGACATTTAGACAATATTGCATTAACTATTAAATCAATTCCTTAAATCTAAAATAAAATCGCTACATTTTATCCTGTTCAATATCCTATTTCATTCTGAAAAATATCACATTATAAGGAATCAAAATGGCTTGTGAAATGTATAAGCAGAATCTGAATGATACGAAAATATCAGATATGATAACTGAACTCATAAGTAGAAACATTTGTCCATCCCAGCTAGCCATTTGGTGTGTTTGTGTGTCCAGCTTCAAGCCTGTGATGACAGAGCGGACAGATGCATGCATGTGTGTCATCCCCTCACCGCTGTGCACTGCAATGACAGGTCTGTGGTGCTGTGTGAAGCCGAGGCGTGGAGAGCTCTCCTGAGGAGACGGGCTATCCATCTCTGTCTTCTTAACTGTAGGGGAGATTCCTGTGTGAAAAAGAAAGAAAAAGCAGAGAGAGATGGAGGAGGGGGAGGAACGTGTGTGTGCTTCGCTAACACAGAATACTGCAAATTCAGCTCCATTGTTCTACACAAGGACAAACTTTTCTGAGACTAAAGGAAAGCTTAGTCAGCTAATTAATGAGCACTGCGTGGTCACTCTCGATGCTTCTGTCAGGTCAAAGCCGTTGCTTACAGTTTGCTTAAGCGACCACAAGGTGGCGCAGTGTGACGAGAGAAGCGCAGCTCTGTCTGCTGCAGTGCAATGCAGAGAGCAACTCTTCTTGCGGCCAGGCCAGTGGGATTATGGGAAAATGTGTCCATAGCTGAGAATCTGCACGGTTATTTAAGGTCAATGCAGTGTTACAGTCTCCATACGGATGTTAAAGCTCTTCTGATGTGGATGTTTTCCAAATAAATTAATCATATACTTCTTGAGCTAACAGAAATGTCTTTGTTTTGAAACGAGGATGTTTTCTGTGCAGGTTTGGGTAGTCATTTAAAGGGCCAGTTCACCCTCAAAACAACAATTCTGTCATCATTCACTCACTGTCATGTTGTTTAAAATTTGGTTGAAGTCAGAATTATTCGCCGTCCTGTGATTTAAAAAAAAAAAAAAATTTCCCAAACAATAATTACCAGAGCAGGGAATTTTTTACAGTATTTCCTATAATATTTTTTCTTTTGAAGATAGCCTTATTTTATTTCGGCTAGAATAAAAGCAGTTTTTTTACAGCAATTTTAAGGTCAATAATATTAGCCCCCTTAAGAAACAATTGTTTTTCGATAGTCTACAGAACAAACCATCATTATCTATGCCTAATTTCCCTAACTTGCCTAGTTAACCCAATTAACCTAGTTAAGCATTTAAATGTCACTATCCTGCAGGCACAGGATGTCAACATGACGTCATATTGACGTTGTACCCCAACATTGTGGGGACATTGGATTTTGTTCGGAAGTGAATATCGGGTTGACGTCAATGCCCAATGTCCAACCAAAAACCAACCAAATATCAACGTCTAATCATGTCACACCTTGACGTTGTGTAGACGTTAACACTATGACATCTGTCAGATGTTGAATTTTAGTCACTTTTAAACACAACCTAAAATCAACCAAATATCAACGTAATTTGACGTCGTTATTGGACCTCAAAATAACGTAGTCTTTATACTCTGGCTAGACAATGAATTTTGGTCATCTGACATCCTCATCTAAATTCATTACTAGTTATTAAAACTATTATGCTTGGAAATGTGCTTAATGAATCTTCGTAAAATTGGGGACAAAAATAAACAGTGGGGCGAATAATTCTGACTTCAACTGTATATGTAGACTTGAATAGCTCTATTTCTATTTTAAAATTCATAATTTTAAACTACTCAAGAAAATTTTTTAGGGCAGTGAATTTGCATAAAATATTCCATCCAAATTACAAGCATAGCTACACAGAATCAAGGAAAGTCACAAATGAAATAGTGCTCTATGGTGTTCTGGAAAGTGAAACTATTCAGGTGCAAAACATTTATAATCAAATTTAAATAAATAACATTGTATACTCTTCATGCATAAAAAATACAATTAATCTTTGTTTAAGCTACAAACATTATAATTTCTTTTACACAACTCATATCCACACTCAGAGGCCTTAAAAACAAGCACAAAAACTCTCTATTAATGTTAAACTTCGCAACGACTTCACAATGTTCTGAACTGTGACTCCTGGTCAACTATAAGCCCACCTTGACATTACAGATCCTGCGATGTGATTATTGTGAATGCGCATATTGAGATATCGATATTGTGCAGCCCTACTCTGTTACGGCTATGTTATGGTAAGAGTAAATAATGACTGAATTGGGGTTTCTAATCTATAACTACAGTTCACTGCAAGTAACTTTTCAACTGCAGGATTAGTAGACTGCCTAATGGGAAAGTTCACCTAAAACTGAACATACATCAACCAAAATACATCAGGTGTCTTGTTTTTGTCCAGTATTACATTAAAGAAGAATGACTCATAAAATGGATGGCACTTTGAGGGTAAAAAAAACAAAACATCAAGGCATAAAAAAATTACCCACCCATCACTCCTGATCATAACTGGTCTTATGTAGCTAAATGATTGGTCTGTGCAAGAAACTGAATATTAATTATTCCCTTGTGATCATCCTGGAAACAGCAGCTTATATAAAAAGGTTTAAGTGTGAATTTGAGCTCACACTCCAGATTGTCATGAATGTGCTCAGGACTGTTAGTTAAAGTTTTGAATTAAAGCTAACGTTCAATATATTTTGCATAGACTTATCACTACATACAGTAGCTTATCAGGGGTGATGGGTATTTACATTTAGTTTTGTTGCCTATAAATGTTCGTCGACTTGTATTTTATGAAACACTATGGACAACAGTTCTTGCTAAAAACTATTTAATGTTCTACTGTATAAATAAGTAATCTCAGATAGCCAGACGGTGAGTAAACTTACACTAGATTGTCATTATTGGATAAACTATTCATGTGTATCTGCAAAGACTTTGTTTTAAATCTCCCCAATAGATATTCTACTAACCATAAGTAACTCTGCAACTTATTCTACTTAGCCTAACCTAACAGTCTACCAATGCTCTACGAACACTCTAATTTGAATTGGTTGATGTGTAGAGACAAAGTTACTCATTGTCAACAGAATGTCTAAAGAGAACCACCAAGTGCAACCATTACATTTAGACACACAAATCATAAATGAACACAGTTCTTTCTCAAACACCACATATTATCCTTCAGATCTTAATCCATATGTACCTGTAAAGGTGCACGTAAATCCAGAGCTGAAAGCAATCAGCTGGGGGATTGTTATAGAGAAACTCATTAGGAGCGTCTAGACGGGAAGTCAGGTGGGCAGGACGGTCCACGACGGGGGTTCAGCTGTGTGCTAGGCGATGAGATTTGCCCTAGAGGCTGATATGAGAACCGTGCTTTACTTCATACACTGTGATGGATTTCAGATGCCTGCTGGTTATGGTATGAGGGGAGGGCGAAACAGGTCTCCTGAGATCTTAAGCAACAGTTTTGCCTTGAGGGTAATGGGTATTCACAAGGGTGTGACAGAAGTCGGATGTTGTGCAAGGCCTGAAACGCCAACTCTGCAACTTTCTAATCTCACAGTGAACTCTGAAGGTTTAGGCTGATCTGTAGCAACAAACTTGAAATCTGTCTCTTTTCCCTTGAATAAGTATTAAACGGTATGAATTAATGCATGCAAATAGATTTTTTTTCTCTGCTTCTTAACGGCTACATACCACCTTTGATTTAATGTTGTAATAAATAAAAAAGTTAAAACACTGAGTACTACAATGGTTTTTATCTGTAATCAGTATGTTATATATTTTGTCTATGCACTAAATTTGAAAGTTTTGTGGTCAGGAAGATTTTGAAAATATATATAAACTACCGTATAAACGTTTGGGGGTCAGTAGGATTTTTACATTTTTTAAAATAAGCTTCTCCTGTTCACTAAGGCTGCATTTATTTAATCAAAAATACTGTTCAAATTATAAAATTGTCAAATGTTATTGCACTATAAAATAACTGTTCAAAAGTAGTTTATCAATTTATTTAATCATTTATTCCAGTGATTTTAATGATGAATATTCAGCTTCATTACTCTAGTCTTCAGTCACATGATCCTTCAAAAATCACTTTAATATAATAATAATAATTTATAATAATTATAATTATTATTATTAATAATAATAATAATATTCATGGTAATAGCTATCAAAGCAATAATGACTGGAGCAATAATTTAATATAAAACTAAATACAATAAGTGATAAATAAATATTTATTAAATAAGTATTAAATAATTTTTTACAATTAATAAATGAACTGAATAATTTTGATTACATTTGATTAATTTTTAAATCAGCAAACAGGCACTAAATTAATCAAAAATGACAACAAAGATACTTACATTGTTGCAAAAGATTAATATACAGTATTTAAAATGAATGCTGTTCTTTTGAACTTTTAATTCTTAAATGTATACACAAAAACAGTAACTATAATAATAATGATTTATTTATTTTCCTTCGACTTAGTCTCTATTTTAGAGGTCGCCACTATTCTCGCCAACTATTCCAGCATATGTTGTACGCAGCGGATGTGTCAACACACTAACCACAAGGCGATTGGCGCCGACTTAATAGATTTTTTTTTAAAGAATCATGTGCCACTGAAGACTAAAGCAATAACTAAAGATGATATAGATATAGATGTATATATATTTTTATAATCTTCCTGAACACAAAACTTTCAAATTTAGTGCATAGACAAAATATATAACATACTGATTACAGATAAAAACTAAAAACCATTGTAGTACCCAGTGTTTTAACTTTTTTATTTATTACAAAAAACTTCTACTGACCCCAAACTTTTGGCCAGTAGTGTGTGTGTTCCCTTAAAAATCTCCATCACTTTTCTTTTACAATAAAATCTTCCACTGAACCTTTTTAAAATTCATAAAATAAAAAGCCCAATGAGCATGCTGCACCAAACTACCATCAACATTGCATGTGCACAAACAAACCGCATATATCCTTTCTGCATTACGCTCCCACAAACTGAACTCCAAGTATTGCTCATAGAAACTTCCCCTTATACAACCCCAGAGGTGGAGTACAGTATGGTTTCTATATCAACTGTGTGTCCTACTTTATCTGAAATCAGACAAGCTGCATCCGCATAAAAATAATTGTCTAAAACGGTTTGGAAAGATGTCTAATGGTCTTCACGATGAGCTGATGGCTGTCAAAACTCCCTCAAAGACATCAAAGGCAGCGATTCTTCATAACCATTAGTTATGCCTTCACATAAGAGTGACACTGATATGCACTGTCACACAGGAGCTGCTCCCAATGTACAGTACGGCAGACATGTAGCTACATAAATCGAAACTCCTCAAAAACAGAATTGAAACCACAAATTTGCATTATGAGTTTGGCAGAAAACCAACCAACCCAGTTATTCTAGTCAATACATTTACCTAGAAGTTCTTTGTGAAATTCCAGGGAATGAAAAGTATAATAACTGAAAGGTCAAAGGTCAGATGATTTTCTGTAGAAGATGAATAGAAAGAAAATACACCGCATTTTAGAGGCTTCTGGAACAGATGCGGTGCAGCTTTCTGCAGACTTTCACAAAAAAAACGTGAGTTCATGAATTAATTAGGATTTTGGCACAACGTTCAGGAAACTCAAATCCAAGTCCAGCCTAAGCTTGTGATTTTAGACTTCCTCTACTGCAGTTGAAAACCTGATATGTTTGTCATTTGCTATCTGAAAGTGCTTGAGAAATGAGGCCCACAGACATGGCTATTTAGATGGAAATCTGCACGCACAATAGACCCCCACTAGTTGACAAATCAATTGGTTATAGCACTATTCATTGCTTAGGATCTGTGTCGACTAGATCGTCTCGTTTCAGTCACACTTGTGCACTACATAGCGACAGCAGGAAGAAAATTCTTCAGGAAACTATTTCTATGTCAATATGCTTTTATGATAACTAGTTTATGGTCGGATGTTTTGAAATATTTTGGAATTGGAAGCCATCACATGACTGTTGATATATTTAGCGAACTATTAACTAAACTATGACTGTGGTCCCTTGCTCGAAAGGGATTATCCCTTTAATAAGTTCATGGCCCGGTTTAATAACATTGCCCAATAATTTTATGCAATATAGAAAGTCTATGAATCAATTTACTTCAAAGTGTCACTCTGTATATCTGTTAAATTATACTGTAGAATCAAACACAAAACTGGCCTCCTTCCAAACTAAACTAAACAAACTATTACAAATTTACTTATTATTCAGAATATTTTTCATTAATTACAAAAGCTAAAAAAATAAAATACATATATATTTTAATAACCTATATATATATATATATATATATATATATATATATATATATATATATATATATATTTATATATATATATATATATATAAATATATATATATATATATATATAAAAACCTAAACATATCAAAATATAAAACTAAAATTGGTAAATTTTAAAATGATTAAAACTGACCTGCTTACGACTAAACTAAACTTTTGTAGTAACTAAAATAACACATATCATGATTAAAACTGACCTTCTTCCAACTGCTAAACTTAACTTCAAAATGTATATCTAAAGCCAAAATAATTAAACACATGCCTACAAAATTCCTTTAAAGATAATCAAAAAAAGATAAATTCAAAAAGCTGACATTTTTTCACAAGCATTAAGTATAACTGAAGCATTATTTATAATCTGACATAAATCAGAGCAAATTTAAGGGTCAGATTACTGGAAAATAACTCCAAATATCCACATTTACAATGCAGCTTGTCTAGATTAATACAGTAAGCCTTCACGTTCACAAGGGACCTTTATTTTGGGTGTTGTGGTTCAGGGGTCAAGGCTTAAGGGAACTGGTACAGTCACTGTAAGCCTTCACCATTGTGTCTTAACCCGGGTTGCCCCAGAGGGATTGTCCCTGTAATAAGTTCATGGCCCACTTTTAAAACTATTGCCCAATAAGTTCATGTAATACAAAGTACCTTTTGTACAATAAAAGCAAATGGACTTTTCATTTGTGATTAGACGGGCATTTTCACTCTTTTCAGGATTGACACAAATAAAGTAATGTGACTGCTTGGTGCACAAAAAAGCAAAACAAAACTGCTGAAAAAAATTCTCATTGCCACTTCCAAACAAGTGAAAACTAAAATAGGAATTCAACACAGATCATAGACATCTTAACTATTAAAATGACTAAAATGGACCTTTTAGCTAAACTAAACTAAACTACTAAAATTACTTTTAAATAAAAATGATTAAACCTGACCTGCTTCCAACAACTATGAGATAAGTTAAACAACTGTACTGACAGAGTTTACTTAAAAATATGGATGCACTGAATTTTCAGCCACCAATAATTATTGGCCAAAAAGTGCATGTGTCATTTTCAATTTTGGTCTGAAAGAGAAAAACTATTAAAGTTCAAAATAGCTTAATATGCCTCTGTAAATCTTACGTTCGTGTACATGTGTATTTAACTATGCATGAACAGAAAAAAAACAAAAAACAAAGTCCACCCAAATAGCAGTCTGTACAGGACATTTCTATTTAGTATACTTGTTTCTGCTGCTTGCAACAGTGCTACTGTGTTGTCACGGCAATGCTGATAAAATAATGCCTCTCCACTCATTCACTGGTAATACAATTTGGCCCTCAATAACACATGTTTTTTTTATTGGCTAGTGTTTTTTTAAAAATAGGAATAGTTTAAGTCAGTGGTCTTTAAATCCTGGCATCTGGCCGCAGAAGAAATCATTAATTATTTCTGTTTTATTTACTGTCTGAGTCTGAACAATCTTTTATTTTGAAAAATCTTTAATTTTGAAAAATGACCGTATTTTTTTCAGATACATCTCAATCACTTGAGCAACAAATTTTAACCCACTTAAAATGAGTAAGAAACAGACGTCTCTGAAAGGTTTCTTTCCAAAGAGGAAAAGGCCCAGTGAAGTACCCTTGAACTGCCAAGGAATGGATCCGCAACCGTGGTAAAATTGTCAATCATTGAGCAGTCTGTGGTGTGAAAAAGGTTGGGGACCACTGATATAAGTTATTGAATTGAATTTGAAAATCTTGCATTGGTTTTCAGCCAAGTGCATCCAGAATTTTCGATTTCAGTACACAACCTTTATTTTGATGCATCGCTACATTAAAATTTAAATATTTAAAAATAAACTTAACAAAAAAACTCTAAATTTACTTTAAAATTACTATGTACACTGTAGTTAAACTCTATCAAACTAATAAAATGACTTTAAAATAAAAAAAAAACTGACCAATTTCCAATAACTGTAAACCAAACAAATCAAAATCAAAATGACTAAATAATTCTTAAATGGGTAAACTTTAATAAATACTAAACAGACCTTTTCAACTTTACTGTAAACTTCCCAATGTCCTTATTATACTTACATGAAATGAGCACGTTTACCCCAGCACACAGCTATTGTATATGTTCAATCACAAAACATCCATCACAAAATCAGCTTTGCATCATTTGGTTCGGTCTTAAAAATGGCAGTGCGAATAGGAATTCTAAGCGAACTATCCTTTTCTGTTTTGCTCTTGACCAAGCCATCCGAAGCACAACTGTGAACAACATCCTACATTTCTGTACAAACACTGTACTGTTCGATCAAACACAAACTGACCTCCTTCCATCTCCTCTGGCCAGTTGCGTGAGCTGCTGGCGGGTGAGTTGGGAGAGGTGTAGTACTCGCCCCCAGGGCTGGTGTCTATATCGTCCTCCATGGATCCTGACTTGTGCCTCTTACTTCTGTATGAGTGAAAAAACGAAGACAGAGTAGAAAAGACAAATAAATAATTGAGCAAAGCATTGTTTAGCTGAACCTTACTCCTCACACAGAGACTCCCAAACTGTCTGGACGTGCCTTATGGATGTTCCTTTGGACTACCACGAGCTGGTTGCCAACATTCACCTTTTGTTTTAGCTGCGCAGTGCGTTTAATGGAAAATAAGCGCATTAATCAGGACTGAGGCCTGGGCTAACCGCAAAAGCAGATAAATCAAGTAAACTACCCTCAGCAGACCTGAGCGAGGGGCTGTGTTGCTTTCACACTCGCTCATCTTTCCCAGGTGTGTGTACGGATGTGCGCTTGTGATGTTTTTATTCAGTTTTGTGTATCGCCTTGGGTGGTTTTGCCTTGACGCGCACATGACAAATTTTATTGTCACTGAGGTGTACTAGTGTCTCGAGCTCCAACCGCCTCAGGCTCCGTGTGTCTAATTCAGCCGATATAGCAATAGTTAACAGGCAACATTTATCATGGCGAGATGCTGACAGGTACATTTAAAGCCTCGTCTAACCGCCCTGAAAGCTCACACGCTCCACTGTTTCAGCCTGGTTAGGATAAATAGGCCAAACAGATTCTGGTTTGGACCAATCAGCCACCGCTGAGGGCTGTTGCGTTCCCGGCTGCGAGGTTGACCACCAAACTCAAAAACAACAGCTGGAGATCAAACATCTACAACGCGGCCACTGTTGCTTCTGGTCTTGAGGTAATTGGGTTGGATGCCACTGCAGGTTTTGTTGGAGAAGAAGTGGACTGAAACTGAATTATGAAATAACAAAGGCAAACAATGTGCTTTACAGAAGTAGCCTAATCATTTCCAAACTTTTTCAAATTGATTTTTGTTTTTACCCAAAACAAGAAAAGCTGCACTTCCATTCACTGTAGTGAAGTCTAAGAATTAAGTACTTATTGTAATATAACAGTACTAAAGTACACATAACAGAAAACCAAGCGCAACATGTCGAGGTTAATCATGTTATGTCTGACTGCTCTGTTTTAAATATGGGGGTACTTCAGGTATGTGTATTATCTCCTCTTTTATTTTCTATAAATATATTAATAAATTGCAGAGCAATAATGATGATAATCTTCCTCTTATAAAAAATGCTGACATTGGCATTGGTTTCCTGTCAGGAAGAAATGAATAGCTCCTTATATTTTAAATATATTTGTAGTATCACTGATTGGTTTGGAAAAAGTTCATTACATCTTAATATTGGAAAAACAAAAGTCAAACAAGAGCAGTAGATACTATATTTTATAAACCAGTCATCACAAATAGAAAAACAGTAGAGCAGGTCTCAAATTTTACATATTTAGGCACAATTAATGACAATAAACTGAATTTTGATAGTAATGTAGAGGCTAGGCTGTAATGTAGAAGTCAGCAAGTCGGCGCCTCCGTCTCCTCAACAAGTTGAGAAGTTTTAATGTTAGTACACAACTTTAAACATGGCATATAGATTATTAATAGAGTGTTCTCACATATAATATTGATTCATGGTTTAGGAACACTTAAGCAGAAGACGACATTATGGCAAATTATATATCGGGCAAATAAGATAACTGGTCACAAAGAACATTGGCTGCAGATTTTATTTTGACTTCTTTATGGAAAAAAAACAGCAATTGCGATCTTTAAAGATAATATACATCCTCTTCACTCAGCTTTTGAAATGTTACCAGGATGAGGATCAGGATGCAGGTTTAGAATTCCTAGAGCCTAAAGAAATGCTTATAAAAAGTCATTTATCCCAATTGCAGTTGTTTTATTAAATCGGGTCCCTGTTTCATGTGAATGGCGCGGTTGTTAAGATTGATCTGCAGTAATATGTATGGGGCTAATATGTTGTTGTCTTGATGAGTGTTGCTATTATTTGACTGTTGTATGTATGCTACCAGTGTTAAAGACAAATTTCCTTGCTGTGCCAAGCAGAACGAACAATAAAGTTTAAACTAAACTAAAAATATATATTAAAATTATTCATGTTTTTTATACGGAAGCATTATTAATCTTTAGAAATAGTTATATATATATATATATATATATATATATATATATATATATAATATATAATAATAGTGATTAACATTTAATAATATATGCAAATAATTGTATTTAGTGATGTGTGAAAATATATTTGTGAAAGTTGCTTAATTTAGAAAATAAATATAGTCTATACTGCCACACAATTCCTTCATGTTGTTGAAACAGAAATTAATTAAGAAAAAAAAAGTTTTTCATTTTTTATTTAAATGGACTGAACATAAAACTGAAAATAAAAGTAAATCCCCCACTAGCCCCCTCCCCCACAAAAAACTAAGATTTGTGTTGTTTTAACACATTTTAAATAAGACGTTTTAACAAGCAGCAAAATTCATTTAATGAGTGTATGGAAGTCAATGGGCTCTATTTTAATGATCTTGGCACAAAGTCGAAGCGAATGGCGTCGAAGCATTAAGGGCATGTCCGAAACCACTTTTGCTATTTTAAGAACAAAAAAATACACTCTGTGCCTCGGTGCATGATCTAACATGGTTGTGCTTATGCTCTTAATATGTTGTAGGTGTGTTTTGAGCATAACATGCATTAAACCAATCAGAGTCTCATCTTCCATTCCCTTTAAGAGTCTGTTGCGTTGCACCATGACGTATTTGCTATTTACATTAAAACTTGTGGGAAAAGTGAAAGCTTCATTAGCAATAAAACAGTTAAACAGACCATCTGTAGCACAAGGATAAAGAACGAGCCTCTGCTATTCTGCCTCTTTACTTTACTTTTACTTTCTACTTTACTCCTTTACTTTTGTGGATAAGGAAACGGTGTGGAATGCACTACACTGAAGACATTCATTTACTTACATATTTAATTTAGTTTGTTAAGTACGAAGAAGCAACGTGGCTCAAAAGGTGAAAATTAGGGTTGCGCTGGTTTGAAAATAGTAACAAATCATGCCATACACATCTTGTGCTTTACTGTGCCGGGTGTATGATAGGGCCCAATAGGTGCCAACTACCAGTATTCCTCAAAAATATCAAAATATCTTCTTCTGTGTTCAACAGAAGGAAAAAATCTAATTATTATGAAGGATTTTCATTTTTGGGTGCACTATCCATTTAAGACCACTACAGTGAACAGATATATTTTCATATATTGAAAGTAAAGTTGAACAAATACAAAAGTATCACCTGAATACCGTTTACTTTAGATTCTATAAAAACAAAAAAGATATGAAGAGGACATTCACTCTGAATTATGACAAGGACATCATGCATCGAAGATTGAAAAGAAGAATAGGAGCAGAACTATTTGATAAACATAATTTACTCCTTATTTAGCATCAGAGTGAACTGCTGCACTTAATCAGAGGATGTTCATGACTTCATCAAAACTGCACATGGATGGAATGCTTATTTAATGAGAGACGATTTTGAATTGCGATAAACAGATGTGGCTTCATTTCTGCATCTCTTTTTGATTCTTCTTCAAATCACACACACACACACACACACACACACACACACACACACACACACACACACACACACAAACACACACACACACACACGCACACTCACGCACTCACTCACTCATCAGTAATCAAAAGTAACTCAAGGACACAGTGTCTTTGGCGAGAGGATTTGTGCCTGCTGGAGATGTGTTTACTGACCCGCTGGAGGAGGTGCTGGGAAGGGTTCTTCTCATTCCCACTCCTGAAGGGTTCAGATCGTAGGCGAGATGCCCCTGCAGCTCTCCGAGAGAGAAGTTCGGCCCTGTGCCCGTCACCACCGGTGCTGCACACACACACATAAAGAGAACATGATCAACAAACAGCAGTAAACATAAAACATGAAGATCAATTAAACTGGATAATGACCTGTACACTATTCATATAATATATTTGCATTAGAGATCAACCGATAATCAGCTGTACCGATATTTTAACCGATATTTAAGCTTTTTTTCATTAGCAAAAGTGTCGGCTGAAAATCAGTTGAGTAAATTATATAATTCAAAAGCATGTCTTAAGTCACAGCTTGAGTAAATTGCACAAACAAAGAGAGCAAAACAATCTTAAAATAAAGTACTACACACTAAAACTATAAAAGACTAAATATTATTTAACAAACAATTTTACTTTTACATAACCTGGTAAAATCTCATTTCTTTCCATACATGAAATCTACTATAAACAGATGTAAACATAAAACACGAGATCAAAAAAATTGGATACCAAACTATACAAATTTTATCATATATTTGTATTATCAATTGAAATCAAATGATTATCAGCTGTACTGATAGCAAAAGTGTCGGCTGAAAAAAAAGTTGTACTAATATTTGATTTCACTTTTATGCATCTATTTATTGGCAAAAGTGTTAACAAATAATCAACTCTGCCAATATTTTATGCAAATTTATGTATTTTTTCCCCACTGACAAAGTTGTATGAAGTTACAAACTGTTAAATAGTATATAATTTGAAAAGTTGCGATTTAGTTAATCACAAGAGGCTGCAATATAATATATATATATATATATATATATATATATATATATATATATATATATATATATATATAAACAAAAATAACGAATAACATCTGAGGTGAAGAGATCTTAGCGAAGGGTCAATTGAGTGAGCACACTTTCATTCTGCCCAATTGCACAACTTAACTACGCCCACAATAAAAAAAAAAAGAAAACAAACAGGAAAGCACTGACAAGTGGGATTATGGTGTCTGCTGCTTCAGAAGCATTAATAGACAAATATCAAAGAAAGACAGCATTTGTAATATGACAGTATTTTGGTTTCAAAGTCACAGACATCGAACAAAAACAGGTCATTTTTAAGAGCTATCTAACGGCTTACAGATTATTGAGCTTGAATTAAATTAAAATCAGCTTGACGCTGGGATTAAATTATAAATCTAATTGCAATCACAATATCTGTCAAAAAAATATAAATCGCAATTAGGTTTTTCCCCAAATCGTTTAGCCCTAGTATGTATAAATAAAATTGCATGTTCAGTTCAGTGATGAAGTCAAAAACAGAAATGTATGAAAATAAATAATTAAATAAAGTTTAGTTCTCGATGGTAGTTATTGAGAAGATAATCCTGTAAATAATGTGTACTGATATCGGTTTAAAAAAATTAATATCTAGATACAAATCTACACGACAATTTTTTAAGAGTCTAGGAGGCTGCATTTCTACGATTAAACAAAATATGGTAAAAATAGAAGTATGTTTATCATAAACCAAAATGTACTTTAGTATTTCTATGTTTGGACAAAGTTATAACATTGTAATAACTTTGTATTTTGAAAAATATTGAGGTGTATTATATAGATACTGTGCTAGAAGCAACAGCAATGATTCAGTACCACAGAATACATCAGCCTACCATAGTGAAGCATTAGTGTTTGCTACCACCACAGTTTCAAATGTAAAGTCGCAATATGGAAAGCATGGGAAGGTAAATACTGATATTTACATCCAGATATATCCTTCAGCACCTTCACACAGAGGAATATTTGGCTTTGAGTTGTGACTCAGACTCTTTATTGACATCGGTGATTGTTATCCAGTGTACACTAAACTACAGCTTTGCAGTGCGACTTGTTAAATAATTGCGTTAGATGGGTGTAATCTCACACATTCATGTTTAAGCCCACACAAGGCTTATGAATCTGTGCCACTGCATGTCTGCTTTTACCTGAGATGACCTCTTTTCTAAGTGTGTGAGTGTGTTTAATTGCTTGGATTTAATGGACAGGCTTTATTGTGTGGTTCAGTTATGTCTGAATGTGTTGTATGTAAATACAAGACGGGAACAATGGGCTTGTTGTTCCAAGGGGTAAGCCTGTGGCGTAGAGTATATGATTATGTATATTAAATATTGCGTAGGAGTAATTCACACCTGGTTTGAGCATGTTGGTTAAATAGATCCCCAAATGAAAAATCGATACTAATTTACTCACCCTCAGGGCCATTTAAAATATATGTGACTTTTTTGCCGAAGAATGTTAAAGAGGTTTTTAGCAAAAACTATGGTCTATGGTGATTTATATACTGCACGTCAACTGCTACTGATACTTTGAGAAGGAAAAAACTTGCAGGTAAAACAAAAGTAATATCTGTAGCTCCTGACAACATACTGAGGTAAAGTGATCAGTCACAACATAATTACGGAAAACTATTTAAAGCGCTAAAATGATTCTCTGTGATGAAGAAAACACTACAGCTAAAAAATCTAAGGACGTGAAATAATTTAGTTAGACACAAATGAAACTTAAAAAGTAGGTTTTACATCACTACTCAATTCAAACCTGTAGAAATGAAACCTTGAACCTATAGCTATATCCTATTTGCATGGTAAAAACTGAACCATTGAATTCACTTGGATCAAAAAAGTGTCATACCAAAAATATATACTTATTAAAGGTTTTCTGAAAACTATAATAAAGTAAGTTGGAATAACGTAATTGTTTTAGGTGTAAGCAATTTGGAGCAAACTTTTTTTAAGTTTTCAAAATACTAAAATTGAAAACTACTAATCTTTCAGGTGCTTTTTACTGTTTTTGTTAAGTGGTTGTAAATATATACATATACATATATATATATATATATATACACACACACATATACACACACACATATATATACATATATATACACACACACACACACACACATATATATATATATATATATATATATATATATATATATATATATATATATATATATACTAGATATTTTTCAAGACGCTTTTATTTAGCTGAAGTGACATTTAAAGGCTTAACTAGGTTAATTAGGTTAACTATGCAGGTTAGGGTAATTAGGCAAGTTATTGTATAAGGATGGTTTGTTCTGTAGACTATTGAAAAAATATATAGCTTAAAGGGGCTAAAAGTATATAATAATAATAACAGAGTATATAATTTAAAAACAGGTCTTAAGTCAGTTCTACACAATATGAGTAAAATGCACAAAGAGAGCAAAACAATCTTGAAAAAAAAAATACACAGTAAACCTCAAAAGACTAAATATTACTCAAACAAACAATGCTACTTTTACATCACCTAGTTAAATCTGACGTCATTCCATACATGAAATTTACTTCAAAGACCTGAGCGCAAAACTTTACTAAGACAAATGATGTACATTTAAAAACATTTTTTCAGTTTACAACATTATTAATTTTAATCCAGAGAGAGATTTGTGAACATTTGTGAAAATGCTCCACACTGTTTGCTGTAGATGATGATAATGTTGCAAATACAGTTCAGTTTCTTGTTCAAACCAATCACTTTGCTTCATAAGAGGAGCCACAAATATTAATTAAGTTTTGCCTACATATGTTTTTTTCTGACAGTATCCCTTGAGTTGCGTTTTGTTAATCCGTAAGATCAACAAATTCATCAAAAAAAAAAAATTCTCATATGATTAGAGCGTGAGTAAATTAACAGCAAATATAGATTTTGGGTTGAACAATCCTGTTTAATGCTGATAAAACTGCATTATGTACTATTATTCTCAAACTGCTAACATCCAATCACAATCCATTAGTTTGTTTGTAACTTGTAAAACATTGTAATTGCGCACAGGTGTGAGGAGTGATATACACAACTGTGTGCAAGCAGACAACTGTGAAGAAGAAAATAATTCCAGTTAAACACAATCAATTACGTTAGACAAGCTGGCGGGATTCCTTGCCTTCTAATGAGGGACTGTCAAACCTGACATGAAACGGCTGTGAAATTGACGCTAAAGTCTGATATGTGGACACCGGCTGTGTGCGAGGTGAGAAGGGACAGCTGAGAGGTGTAAAAAAAAAACGACAAGAAACTGACTAAAAATTCCACAAACACTTTTTAAAGGGACAGTACACGCAAAAAAAATTATTCTGTGATTATTTACTCACTCTAATTTCATTCTAATCCCAAATGTGACGATTGAATAAATGATGAGAGACTTATTTTGATTTCGGGATGAAGTGTACCATTAAAGCGTGTTATATAAAATACAAAAGCATCTCACTTCTTGATACTTGCACCAGTTCTGTTACACTGAAGACACCCGAAGTTACGAAGCTGTCTTGAAACTCCGGAGCATCTGTTAGACAAAAGAAAACATGGAATAAATGATGGAGATGTACTTTCCCAAACAAGGATATCACCAGCATCTCACGCACAAAGAAATTTAATTTGCTTTTCATTTCTAAGTCGCTCTGGATAAAAGCATCTTCTAAATGAATGAACATCAACGTTTTACATTAGCAGAGTCTCTTTGGCCTCTACACTGGAGGAATTATGGAAATGTCATATCTTAAAGGCATTTAATACAGAATTCAGAATAGTATAAAACAGAGTATCCTTTGAAAAAATATACTTTTATTTAATTCTTACACTCATCAAGCCTGCATTTATTCGATCAAAAACACAGTACAAACTATATTGTGAAATATTATTAGAATTTTCTATGTTAACTTAATTTTAAATCTGATTTATTCAAGAGACGATTAATTTTCAGCATCATTATCCAGTCTTTAGAGTCATATGATTCTTCAGAAATTAAACAAATATGGTGATTTAGTGCTATAAGTTTGTTTTTGCTACAATTGTTTAAAAAAATTACTCCTAAGATTTGTAATGAACATCACTTATTTCATAGGTTAATCTTATGTATCTTGTGCATGTTTTTTTTTTGTTTATCAAGATTCATCAACAACATGCTACTTGTTCAAGCTACTTATTTAAAATAAGTTGAAACAACACAATTCTTAAGGTTTTTTGGGGGACAACTTAAATGTTTTATGTTCAATCCACTTAAATGTGTAAATTGATTAAGTTAATTTTATCGATTTGTGACAACATGAAGGAATTGGATGGAACCCAGAATTTTCTACAGTGAAGAATGAGTCACGGCTAGTGTCTCTTAGCATGAGCTCTTTGTGCTGGGTTATATGGTAAGTAAAATATCTGTATTTTATATCTCTGTACAGAAAGTATCTTTATTAATATATCTGTAAGTGACTGATTGGCAGTGTCCAGTTTACACTGGTGTGTGTGTGTGTGTGTTGTTTTGCGGAGCCATTATGACTTCTTGATCAAGTTTAGGACGACGGTTTTCTTTAACAAAATTTGAAAAGTGAAAAATTGTAATGAATACTTCAAATCCAAAAGCGAACATTAAAATGTGTTTGAGGTGGCCTGACTGAATAAAACCCAGACACTAGGGCCGCGCGATCTTGAAAAAAACTGACATTGAAATGTTATATTTTTTTCTAATACATACTGCGGTAAGGGTATAATTTCAGAAGAAGATTTAAATAACTCTAAAAAATCATAATTTTACATATATGTGGAGTGGATGTGGATATATTATAATAAACAAATAACTGTGGAGCCAGATCAGTCTCAAATATACATTCACAAAATATCCACAGCACAATTCATATTTACAAAATACAATTCGTAAGTTCAAAATCCAATTTGTAAATACACAAATACAATTCATAAATTCGAAACACGATTCAAAAATTCAAAAATCTAATTCATCTGGCGAAAAAATATTTTTGATTTTTCTTTGTGAATTCACAAATTGTGTGTTGTATTTATGAATTGTGCTATGAATTTACAAATTGGATTTTGTAAATGTGAATTGTGCTGTGGATGCTTGAATTGCATTTCATAAATGTATTGTTTTTGAGACTGATATAGCTCCATAAATAACAAGTATACATGAATACAATAGAACAAAGATATTGTGGTACAAAAATTAAATAAACAGATGTAAAATAGCACTGTACAATAGTCAACATTTAAAGGGGATTAAATATTTTCATCAAAGTTGTCCTAAATCTACTGAACAACACCTGTTCTTGTTTTGTGACGATTTTGAAAATCTTCCGCTTCAAATTTTGACTGCATTCTTCATTGTATAAATAAACAAATACAATTCAGCTTAGCTAAAGCTACAAATTTTATCATTTCTTGAGACCAAATGACTAAAATTCTCTTGAAATCTCGCAGTACTTTAAAAATGTAGTTACAATCCCAACAAGATATTGCAGATCCACGATGTGATTATTGCAGATTCGCATTTTGTAGTATTGATGCTGAAACAATATATTGTGCAGCCCTTCTGGACACATTCAAAAGCATAAACAATAGTGAAAAATAACGTTACTCACTACAATCACAGAAATAAAGTTACGCGAGCTGTCACTGGAGTGGTACCTTTTCAAAAGGTACTGTACATATTTGTACTTGAAGGATCTATATTGGTACCTCAAAAGTACATTTACTACCTTCAAATTTTAAGATGAACACTTTTGTACATTTTAGGTACCAATATGTACCCTTGAGGTATTAATATTGACCTTTTAGGTACAGATTTGTATCTTTTAAAAAAGGTACCACCCCAGTGACAGCTCGCGTACCTTTATTTCTGAGAGTGTAGAATATGCACACACAACATCACCACATAAATCAAAGAAAACTTTTACAGTACTAAACAAAAACCAGGAGACTGCTCAACTCTGAAACAAATAGGATACTGAAACCTTTTGTGCAAAAACTAACATGTTTACATTTTTGTATTGCATTTTCGTATTTTCTGCATAGTTTCAGATTGCATATTACAACAACAATTGTGATATTATCATAGACCATAAATATCTAACAGTCCTAGGCAGCAGCTCATGCGTTTTTCAGACAAACTGAAGTTTATCAATATAAAAAGTATATTATATCATGTATCGGCCGCGATACACACACAACTCTACAAACAACCTAACCCTACCATTCATACAGAAGAAAGACAAAACCCTGATGTGTGTTTGGATACATTACTAACAATTAAAGGGATAGTTCACCCAAAAATGAAGATGTACTCACTATTTACTGTGGTTCCAAACCTTTACGAATCTCTTTATTCATCAGAAAAAAATTATATTTTGAAGAAAGATGAAAAGTTTGACGTCCATGTTAGGAAAAACTAATAGGAAATCGACGGGTACAGGTTTCCAGCTATCTTCAGAATGTTTTTGTTGTACTCAACAGAATAAAGAAAGTCAGATGGGTTAGGAACAAGTAAAGAGTGAGTAAATGGTGACAGAATTTTCAGTTTTGGCTAAACTATCCCTTTAATACTTCAGTTTGGTTCATACATGTTTTTCTGAACACAATTGTCACAATCTAAATTAAACAAAAATTAATCAAGATGAAGTTTATAATTAACCCTTTGTAACCTTTGAAACTGAACAAAATTTACTGAATGTTAATTCTACTTATCTGAAAAGAGTTTTGAACTCAGTGTTGAAGATAATTCAACACTATTACCTCATTACTTCAACTTAAATGGAGTAAGTTCACAGTACTCAAATAGATTCGTTTTTTTAACTCAAATGGTTTGTAGCAATTGGTTTCCTCAAACGGTTTGAGTTTTCTTCATTTATCAGGTTTTACTGTGCTCAAATTGCTTCATCTACTCAAATGGATTAAGTTCACAGTACTCATTAGAATTAGTTTTTGAACTTAAATGATATGTTGCAATTGGTTTTCTCAAATGGTTTTAGTTACCTTAACCTTTTGGGTTTTACAGTGTAGGGCTTCACAAAATATTGTTTCAGTGTCGATATAGCAATGTGAGCATTCGCAATAGTCACATCGCAGGATTTGCAATGTTGAGTCTGTATTATAATTTAGCATTTGCATGTGTTTTTAAGGCCCATGACTATATGAGTATTTTAAATGCATTCAGCCATAAGAATTTTACAGCCATTAAAACGAGTAATTTTATCGAATTAATGTTATTTTTATTAGTCAATTACTATACCTGAATACTATTTCAATTTTAACAATATTTTATTATATTTACCTATGCTTTTGATTTATTTATTAGATTTTATGCAGACACATTCCCCTAAAGAATCATCCCAATCTTTCCAAAATTATAAATTCTTTCTAAATAAAGATATTCAAGCCATTTGGTGAAATTGTATTCATATTGCAATATAAACCGTAGACTAACAAAATACCATAATGTTAGATTTTTTATTTATTTAATTTTTTTAGCTGTCAGATTACTTGGAATCAATCTAAATCTGTTCAAATAAAATATTGTTAGATTTAAATTTGGTATAAATATATTTAGCTGTAGAAAAAGCCAGACTCAATTAGTTCAATTCTATGAGACTGGTTCAACTGTACTCAATATTCAGGGGGGGGAAACGGATGCAAGACTATCCGCACAATAGATTAAATCCAGTGTGTTTTAAATGAATAGGAAGACTTGAAAAACACATTGCTTTAATTGATATTATTATTAAATCTTGTCCTTATTTGTTTCATTGATGTTTAACTAACAAATATCAATCAATCAGTTATGCTAAATGTATGTAATCCAAATTTATGGAGATTTTCATGCAATCACAAAACATAAATCTTATTTGTTAGGCCTAAATATTGTAGTTAATTTGGCTTTTGAATACATACAGTTATCATTCCTATAAATAACTTATCTGAGTGTGTAAAGTACAGTATTAGACACTAAAAGGTGAATGTAGCTGCAGATTATATGTGCCTTATGTACACAAATCCACAACCTGATCATTTCCATCTACATTTCCCGCAAACATTCATCCGAACGTAACGCACAAATAAACTGCTGGCTTTGTCACATGAGTTCTGCTGAAGAGGGGAATGTGGGCAGGAGTGTGACACGAACTGGGCAGAGACGGAGAGAAGCTGAGTGTGTGGGTACAGGTTTGAAGCCATACATGTAGGTTGCGTTGTGTAAACAGGATGTTTGTTTAGTGCATGAGAAGACGCTTGCAGGACTGCACCGCACTGTATGCTGCCACTCATAGTGTATGCAAATATTCCTGTACATGTGGTTGTGTGAATGTGTGTATGTTTGTGGGTGTGTGCTGTCTTACCCATAGTGGCGGCTCGACTGTCCTCCTGATCTGAACCGATGCCTGTGCGAGGACTACTGCTCTGTTCAGCCTCTGAGAAACAACAAGAGAACAAAGACACACTGTTAACAAATGTTTGGCTCCATGCAATCCCTTCATGTTGCTCAAACAAAAACAGATTAAGTTAACATAACTGCTTAAAAAATTTAAGTGGATTGAACATAAAACAATCAAGTTGTCCACTAAAAAAACTGATTTTAAATAAGTAGCTTAAACAAGCAGCAAAAATAGTGGGAAAACTCTGTTATATATCTCTAATTTATATCTTATAAACAATATTATTTAAAGCTGAAAGTGCATAATTGTCACAATCACCAGTGATCCAGGCTTGTAGACTACTGGGAACCATTCACTTTCACTCAGGACTACAAATCCTGTCATGCACCACACATTCACATCTGTTCCGGGTTTTCTACAGATTGCTAAAACACACACAGCTGAAGCAGTTCAGAAGTGATTACATGGACTTTAAAAGCAGCACAGGCACACACACCAGTGGCTGAGTCTTGTTTTCTGTACTGTAACGGTTTCCTTTGCCTTGCCATGTTTGACCTTTTGCCTTGTTATATCGTTTACATTGCTTGTCGCCAGTACTGATCAATCACCTGTTTATGACAATGCCTTTTGGATGATCTGTATGTTATGCCCCTGTGTTGACTGTTGCTTGCCTGCTGACCAATCTCCTAATAAACTCTGCATTTGTATCCGCAACTCCTTGGTCCAGCATTCCTTCACATTACAATGATGAGCTGAGGTCAATAATCAGAATTTCGTTCAACAGTGCTAACAATACTGAATCAAATCTCATATCTCAATTACATTAATATTGCATGTTTTTTATGTTTTGCAAACTTAAACATTTAGGTTCTGTGTAACAGTACTAGAAAGTAACTAGTGTTTGAATGATATTTACTGTAAGAGCATGGTTTCGGCTACATTCATTCTTTCATGGCGGGGAACCACACCAAAACTAATGCCTGCCATGGCTACATTACAGCTTCTCATTTAAAATCTTCAGTTGATGCTGTTTTTTTATAGCGGGTTATAATCGCACCAAAAAATATTAAAATGTAAGTTAATTATAACGTAGTAATAGTAGTAGTGCTGTGCATTATTTGATTAACCCTTTAAGGTTACATGCTGACTGACTGACAGGTGCGCGATGCGTGAGGCCAGCAAACACGATGTAGCTTACAGTTTTGATGAACACATTTTCCATAATTATACTTTTTTATAGATAAAGGTCAATGGTTCTGCATACAGTAACTTTATCTTGTTGGAGTTTATAGCCATTTCACTTTTCTTCAGGATGCATCAATGCCGTTCTGTAGGTCTATTAGAGGCATTCATAAATATTTCAAGCAAATCTAATAAATGTTGGAGACCTACTCATTAAATAAACACACTAAATCGAACTTCAGCAGCATTTATTTGAGAGCGCACAAGAAAATCTGTGCTTGAGCAGTGTATATTTGAGGGCGTGCAAGAAGTTTTCATGTAATCTCGACTTGTAATACTGTGCTCATGACATTTGTTATTGAAATAACGCCATAGGTAGTTGGAAGATCTGTGTAAAAGGCCTGCCACCACAGTTAGAAAAAATCCTAGAGAAAACACTGAAGTGTACTGCATTAGTTCTGCTTATTCAATGTCAGGATGAAGAGGTCATTTAAAAGTGTTTACATTTTTATTTTCATGGGAAATATACAGTCAATTTGGGGTAATTAAAACTGCATTATTTGAGTGAGGATACCTAATTAATATATTTTATGGTAACACTTTACGATAAGGTTGTATTAGTTCATGTATTTACTAGCACGACCAAACAATAATTAATACATTTATTATTGTAGTTATTAGGGGTGCAACAACACTGACTTCTCATGGTTTGGTTTTAGGTCACAGTTTCAGTATATGTTCAGTATAAAAGCACTCTCTGCAAGCAAGATACAATACAAAATGAATACAATACATCAAAGATAATACTAAAATAAACAGTGCTATTCAGGTTATTCATGTACCTAACAGTAGTTACATAAACGGAAAAAAAAATAATCCTGCATACTGTATATAATCTTCACCATACAAATGAAATAAAGGTTAACCATTACTGAGCTAAATAACTATTCAGTCAAGACCAGAGTGATTTCATTATCTTTTGCTGTTTGAATAATATTAAAAGCACGGACAGCAGGCATAAGATGTTTTCACTTTCAGATAATTCACAGATGCAGCACAATGAGAACATACCAAGGCATATGGACGTAATTATTGGTCATTACTGAGTTTTACCGTTGAGATGCAAGACTTCATTTGCGCATCGTAACTTTCATTCAGCTGTTCAGATGAGGCACCTCTCAGATCTCTGGTGCATTGCACAAATTCTGGTTCTGGGCTTCTGGACTGCGCACATTTTCATTTTTATGTGAAAGCTTCCCAAACTGAAATGCTCACTCATTTACTCATGGACATACATTCAAGGAAATGCAAAATACATTTTTTAAATTTAAATGCAAAACCGAAAAAACACAATATCCATATGCTTATTGTACCATGGAGGTCGTACTTAACAGTTCTATATAATATTGAGTATTGCTGCCTAGTAGTTATTCGTTTTTGTTAACGTTAGTTAAGTTGACTTGTTAACTTGCAGTAATGCCAACAAGCAGGAATTTGTATTTTGATGTATTTTAATGTAAATGTTAAACTAGGGACATTGTAATATTTAGTTTTTCTGCAATATATGTTAAAATATGCATGTATTTTCACCAGATAGCTTGAATAAAGCTATATTTGGAAAAGAATCTTTAATTTAGACGGATTTTGGATTATTCGGAGAGTAAATCATTAATATAATACAGTAAACAACTTAACAGCATAAATAAATACAGTAGAGCAAATATAAAGGTAAAACAAAGATTGCTTTTAAAATAGAGCCAATTTCTGAAATAAATAGTCATTAATATTAAAAACTGTACAATTTCTTGTGGTTGAATGCATTCACAAGCCTTAAAACACATGCAGATGATAAACCTTTATTCTATTATGGTTAAACTCTACAAATGTCATGTTTTGGAAATTATAGTTCTTCACAACATTCCATAAACTGTAATGTGACTATTGCAGATGTGCAAATTGTGATATCAATTGTGAAACAATATATTGTGCCCTATGCTAAACTTTGATTAATGAATGCTGTACTATAGGGACTAATGCAACCTTATTGTAAAGTGAAACCCATATTATGTTCATGCACATTTGTTTTTAAATTATGAATTATAAACATTACAAATACCTTATACACAAACAATCTAGAAATTAAAATGTCACATAAACAAGTAAAACTCTTAAACACTGGCAAAAATAAGCAAGCGTAATATAAACTCAAAACAAACAAATGATAAGCAGATGAATAATTACTCCAGTTCTGTAAATGCTGTTATTGAATGAATGGCAATCATAACCGAACTGCAGCAGCATTAGTCTTGAATTTTTCCCAAATCCGTGTGTATGTTCAGTGAACAAAGACATCTGACGTGTTGGCATGTGGTCGATCATGTCAGCGATAGCTTTGATAATCCGACATAAGAACATGTTTCTGTATAAACAGCAGAGAAAGCGAGCGCTCTGTATGTTTTAAATAAATCACTCATAGGTTAGCATGCGCTCTGATACACGGACGAGCTGAGACAAGGCCAAATGGCTCATAAGCCTCATAAATGAGAAACACACCGTATCAAAGTGCTCCAAAACCATTCAAATATTCCCTTTCTTTTCAACTTGTTTGGCAAGGCCCAGCGTAATCTCGTTGAACCCTCTATACTGGCAGAGCTCGGGGATTATATTGCCAAAGTGTAAACTCATTGAAGCAACACAATAATGACAAAACAACCTAATCCAACCATAAAACCTTCCCATTTGTGCGCGTTCCAGCTCTTTGCCACACGGATGTGAGGGAAAACGCAGATAAACACATAAAACGGATTCGAGTCAAGAAGCGGCGGAGGATTTTCTGAATAGGGAATGAAAGAATGGAGGGGTTACCGCAAGGACTCTGGCAGGCGTTCAAAGAAAAAAGCCGGTGAAAAAAATATCTCAAGCTGGATAAATAAATAAGAGAGCTCCCTATCAGATGGGCCGCGCGCCACTGCCAGTTCAAAGCCGAGAAGAGTCCGACCGGCTGCACACGTCTCAATGCAACGCTTCATTAAGACTCTCACACTCTTTGTGGCCTGCTGGACTCTGAGGCCGACCGCAAACTACTGCTCGAGACACATCAAAACACACAACTGCCATGCCAGAGCAGCCATCTTTCTTATGGGTAATTCAATGAAAGCCAAGGTGAATTTGCATGTTTTACTCCATTAAAGTGAAACAGGGTATATAGTAAATATAAAGCCAGCCTTTACTGGATCAAATAAACTAAAATGTCATGTTGGCAAGTTGAAGTTAATGTGATAGCCATTATATTATATACACCCCCCCCTCCCCCCCCTTATAAAATCAATTGATGTCAGTTTTTTGCTTTCTTCTTATTTATCTGTGTTCAACAGAATAAAAAGGGTTATAACCAGATGAGGGAGAGTAGATAGTGTGTACATTTTTAGTTTTGGGTGAACTTCACCTTTAATATAACTTTTTTCTAAACCTGTTTGAGATTTTTCATCTATAAAAGATATTTTAAAGATCACATGTAAATATACTGTGACATTTAATCTATTGAGATGCCGTAGTATTTCCCTCTGCTTAAATAAGTCATTAAAGGACAAGCAATTATTACTTCAAAATATTTTCTTTTGTGTTCAGCAGAAAGAAAATTTACTCATCCAAGTTTGGAGTAACTTGAAGGTTAGAAAATGTTCCTTTGTGGGTGAACAATCCCTTTAACATTGGGCCCTGTTTAAACCTACACATTGGTACTTACACAAACAGTACACAACTTTTCACACAATTTTTGTTTTTATTTAAATATGTCTTTAATGGTTGTCTGGGACAAGAGGATTTTTTAAAGAAACAAATGATAAAATAAATTC